GAGGGAGAGGGAGAGGGAGAGGGAGAGGAGAGAAAACAAGAGGATAGGGGGAGGGAGAGGAGGAGCGAGTGTGAGGTACCTCCTTGGGCGGAACGTTCTGAGCAGACCGGAAGAGGGAAAGTGCTCGCTCATCGTCCTGCCGGAACATCTCGATGCTCTGCCACCACTTGCGCCGAATGCCGAGGGCGCCAGGGAAGATAGCGCCAGCAGCAGAGAAGAGCTCGCCGAGCCTGTAGTGGAGGAGGAGGAGGTAAGAGGCAGGTGGGGAGAGGAGAAGAGAGGGGCGCAAGGAGAGGGGAGGGATACGAGCAAGGGGAGCCTTAGGAGGGATGAGCGAGAGGGAAGAGGGGAGAGAAGAAGGAGAACGAGAACGAGAAGGAGAAGGAGAAGGGACCTATGGGTGGCGATTGGGAAAGCCTGAGAAATGATTAGACATGACAAACGATAGATCCGAGAATATGAAAGCAATCGTCATCATGATCACCACCACGACCACCACCACGATCTCCTCCTCCTCCTCATTATCATCATCATCTCCATCATCATCATATCCATCGTCGTCGTCGTCATCATCATCATCATTAAGTCCTACCTTCGTACGGCGATTCTCGTCCGCCTCCTTGCATAGAACATTCCTTATCCTGTCAACTTCTCTCGGGATTTGTCGCCATTCTCTCTCTTCCTTGGATCTGCCGACGTGAACGAGAACATAAGATCAAATCTCGGAAGCGTCGTTCCTTCCTCTTTCATACCCATGCGCCTGCCCCTTTATCCCTGCCCTCTCTCTCTATTCATTGTCCTCCTCCCTCCTCCCGCTCCCTCCTCCCGCTCCCTCCCTCTGACCTCTCAAGATCCATCAAGAAAGTTTCAGCTATGGCAACGTTGGCGTCGGCGGCTCGCTGCAGGTGCCTCATCGCTGCCTCCCTGTCGACGCAAGGGACGCCGCGCCCTGTTGCGAGCATGATGGCTAGCGCGCAGTGAGCAAGGGGATGATCCTGAAAGTAGACTGAGAAGATGAACAAGTGAAGAAGTAGAAGGGAGGGAGGGAAGGAAGGAAGAAGAAGAAGAAGGGAGGGAGGGACGGAGGGAGGGCAGGACGGAGGGACGGAGGAGGGAAAGGAGGTGATGAAAAGGGAGAGGGGAGGCTGTGGAAAGGGTTGCGGGAGGGGAGATAGATGAGAGAGGAGGAGATGCGAGAAGGACAGTTGAGGGGAAGAGAGTAGAGGGAGATAGTTGAAGAGAGTAGAGGGAGATAGTTGAAGAGAGTAGAGGGAGATAGTTGAAGAGAGTAGAGGGAGATAGTTGAAGAAAGTAGATGGAGATAGTTGAAGTTTGGAGGAGGGGCAACGAGGCATGAGAGGAACCTGTTCGACAGCCTGCTTCATCCACTTGACAGCTTTGAAATTGTCTCTCATCGCACCCTTGCCCTCTGCAAATCTAAACCTGCTCTTGTTTCACCGACGAAGACAATGAAGAAGGCAGTTGAGGAGCAGCAGGAGAAGCAGGAGAAAGAAGAGAAGCAGGTGAGGTGAGGTGAGGTGAGGTGAGGGGAGGTGAGGTGAGGGGAGGTCAGGCAGTCACCCGAGCTCCAGTTGCGCGTCAGCGTCGCCGGGGAGAACTTCGACAACTTCTCCTCTGATGCGGTTGAGACTGAAAAGATGATGAGCAGACGAGCGATGAAGCTGAAGACACAGAGAGGGCGAAGAGAACGTGTCACGACAAGGACAAGAAGAGCTCAGATTGTGGTGGGAACATGAAACAAGAAGTCCATCAGAACATGTCAAAGATCGTGTTTACCTCTCACGCGCCGCCTTGACATCTGACTGGGTAAAGGCGGTAGGAGCTTGCTGTTCGAAAAGAGCCTTGCAAGACATCAGAGTCAGGACCAGACCCGGGGAGAGCAGCAACAGATACTCACAGAGGACACCTTGGACTGCAACATCGCCTTATGACGACGATTGAGCTCGATCCTTTTGAAGATTAGCTCCCTTCTGCTGAGAAACTCCTCCTGCGTTATCTTCTCCTCCAGCAGCTCATCCTGGTTTTTGACATCTTTAGCCTCCAGCGCCGCCATCGTCTCCGCCGTCCGGAACAGGTCCTGTCAGCGAATTCATGTCAGCGAGGAAACGAGAGTCTCAGGTAAACTCGACCTCCTGCCACTCCTTGACCCTGGACAAGGAGAACACGGGTACGTCTTCCATCCCCGGATGATGTCTCGTGATCGAGTCGGCGAACAGAGCCTGCGATCCGCGATCGAACCGGACCAGGATTTCAACAGCATCTCCCGTCCTCAGCATCTCTGACTCCTGAGGTAGGAAGTCCCGTGAGAGGAGGAAAGGAGGAGCGGAGGAGCGGAGAATGGGAGGAAGAGGGGAGGAGAGGAGAGGAGAGGAGAGGAGAGGAGAGGAGTGGACGAGACGGGACGGGAGGATCATATAGGTTGTCATGTACCTTTTCCATGGCATGCTTCTTCCACTCGATATCCAGGTACGGCTCTTCCCCTCCCTGCTCCTGCTTGTCCTCCTCCTCCTTCCTCTGTCTCCCCGACCATGAATTATCTCGCTGGTCGCAAAGGCTAAGGAGGTCGGGGAGGGCGGAGAAAGCGGCAGGAGCGGAGGAGGCGGAGGAGGAAGAGTTAAGGGTCGAGGCCATTCCTCTTGCCTCCTCCTCAACCATCCGGAGCTCTGCCAACGAGAAGTTGGTCTCTCCCCCTCCTCTCATCCTTCCCAGCTTTTCGAACTCAGCCTTGCACGCATTCTCAAGTCGGAGGAGACCGATCCCGGAGGAGAATGCATTCTGAGACAGCGAAGTTAGCACAGAGGAGGACGAGGACGAGGAGGACGAGGAGGACGAGGAGGAATAAAAAGAGGACGAGGAGAAAGAGGACGAGGAGGAAGAGGACGAGAAAGAGAAGAAGGAGGACGAGAAAGAGGACGAGGAAGAGGACGAGAAGGGCTTTACCGGTATGAATTCTTGTCTTGTAACCATCCTTATATATCTTTTCTGGGAATATCTTCGGACGAGCTGAGATGCGATCGTCCTCTGTGCGGCAAACTTCATGCTCTCTGCTATTCGATCGCTGATGAACATGTCACATATCCCTCATGTCACAGAGGCTGATCCGCTATGGATTCAGCATAAGGAAGGTGGGGGGGGGGAGGGAATCGCTGACACGTCCTTGCTAACAGGGGAAAGAGGCGGGGAGAAGGGAGGGTCTTGGCATGATAGCACAAGACAAGAGGAATTTGATGTCTTAGCAGCTAGCCTCACCTCATAGTCGCTATTGCTCGTATCATGTCTGCAGTCTTCACTCTGATCTTTCCTCCCTGCGGCTTCGCTTCCTCAAGGAGGAACTTGGTGGCTTCACCTTCCAGCCACTTCGAGGCTTCCCGACGTAGCAGCCTAGCCCGTTCAACAGCAGACATCTCCTCCTCCTCCTCATCATCATCATCCCCTCCTCTCCTGATCTTTCCACTGCACACAGGACACATCTGACTCTCGGGAATGTACCGCAAGTCCAGTATGGCTTCTTGAGGGTGCAGGCATTTCCTCTTCCATCTCTTCCTCTCTTCCTCGTCTTCGATCATCATGTTGTTCTCATACATCTCCGCCAACTCCAGCTGTGCGATACCATGCCCCAGGTACGCGGCTCGCATGACCCACCGCTTCCCCTCTTCGACGCTACTTTTCACTCCCCTCCCACTCAGGTAGCACAGCCCCACACAGCACATAGCCTCTAGCTGCCCGCCAACTGCTGCCTCCTTGTACAGCTGGAAGGCTTTCGGCTCGTCCTTCTGCACCCCCTGCCCCTCGAAGTGAAGTGCCGCCAACTTGCACTTAGCATCAACGTCACCGCTGGCCGCCTGCTGCTGCAGCAACCCCACCTTGAGCCTCCTGCCCGCAACCTCCTGCTGGAATCTTGACTTGAGCTCCTTCTCCGCTCCTGGATGCCCCAGATCTTGTGCCTTCCTCAGCCATCCGATGGCCATCACCACGTTCTTCTCCACCAAACTCCCATCTGCGTACAGCCGTCCCAGGAGCAGCGCGGCAGCGGCAACCGTCTCTCCCGCCCTCTCAAGGAACCGAACAGCTTCTCGCGTGCTTCTTCTCACTCCTCGCCCCTCCAGGTAGTACATTCCTAGCCGGTACTGAGCCTCAGCATGCCCCTGTATGGCAGCTGCCCGATACCAGTCTGCTGCTTCTGTCTCGAGCTTCGCACGCTCGTGCTGCAACATTCCAGGCAGCCCAGCCAGGCGCTCCTTCTCCTTCCCATGCTCGAGCATGGAGACTTGCGAAGTCTCCTCGTGTGCGCATGTACATTGCATCCTCCTCTGCTCCACTGAGCCTCCTTTTGGGTCCATCTTGAGAGTGTGATTCCCAACGTCTTTCCAGAAGCTTCCCTTTGGCGCATGCAGCCATTTGATCGTTTTCGTTCTCTTCTTCTGATGAGTCCCTTCAGCGTTCAGTCCCAACACAACTCCTCGGCATACTGGGCAAATCTTGTTGCGCGGATCAAACCGCTTATCCCTTGCCGCCTCCTCGGGAAAGTCACAGAGAGCAACAGGGTTGGACTTGAGCTTCGCATCCTTCTCAGCCTTCTTCTCCTCCAGCAAGAGAGCATGTCGTCTCGGGTCATGCACTCCACGAGTCTTGGCGGCAGCACTTTCACGCATGACGCCAGTGCGACGTTTCGCACTCATTCTGTCCATCATTGCTCCTATTCCTTTGCACACACCCGTGCACACTCCAGACAAGTCCAGTATGAAAGAAAAAGTTCTTTAAAGAGGATCTTCTACTTAGAGCAAAGATAAGATATGCTTACATGTGTTTTGTTCATCGAATGACTGTTTTCCATCATCTCCATCTCCATCTCCATCTCCATCTCCATCTCCATCTCCATCTCCATCTCCATCTCCATCTCCATCTCCATCGCTGTTGCCATTTCACCGTCTCCCCGACAGCGTTTTCCCGACATCCGTTAGGTTCTCGCCCGAACAAATCACGAAAACTCTCGAAGCAACGCCTGGGCATACAGCTAGATGTCTTCACAGCCCACCCTACCCCCTAGGATCCACATGGACAAACTTATCTATATTTATACCCCACCCCATTGTGAAGACGGTCTGTGTGGATCCATGTCTCCAGATAGTACTAGATATTTACTTATGATCTGACTTATTACTTTGCAAGGGTACATGTAGTAAGGTTTTCTTTCAGTACCACTACTTGGCAAGTACCCACCCCTTGAAAAAACATATACTTCCCTTCAAAATGTCGTCGTCATTTGCCGCTGCTGTATCGTCTACGTGACCTGGGCGAGCATGGCTTGCTTTCCTAGAGATACGATCATTCCAGATACTCTCACTCTATCGCTGTAGGAAGCATAAGATCGACCCTCTCCTTCTTCTCCTCCCGCCTTTCAACAAGCGCTCGGATACCAGGCTGCAACCGATCGCTCGCTGGTTCTGCTGTTCTGTCATGTCGCTGTCCTCTACGACTCTTGACCCGGCACCCCCACCGAATGAGCATCAACTCCAACCCGATCTTAGTGAAATCGCTGCTCCTAACCCTTCTAGGCTGTGCGAGCATGGGCGTAGACGGGGAAGATGCAAAGACTGTGGGGGGAAGGGAATATGTGAACACAAGCGAGTGAGGAGGCAGTGCAAGGATTGTGGTGGTGCAGGGATATGTGAGCACAAGAGACTCAGAAGGCAATGTAAGGAATGTGGTGGCTCAGGTATTTGTGTGCACAAAAGGATTCGAAGTCACTGCAAAGATTGTGGTGGAAAAGGAATATGCGAGCACGGGAAACGCCGCAATCGCTGCAAGGATTGTGGGGGGAAAGGGATATGCCAACATGGGCGAAGGAAAAGTCGCTGTAAAGAATGTGGAGGATCGGAGATCTGTATTCATAGCAGGATCAAAAGCCAGTGCAAGGATTGTGGAGGAAACAGTATATGTGAGCACAGGCGCATTCGCAGTCAATGCAGGGAATGCAGAGCCGTTGCGATGTGCATTCACAGGCAATTGAAGTCACAATGTAAGGTTTGCAATGGCAGCGACATGCTTATGACCGTAAAGCCGATGGAAGAATCCTCGTTTGTCGCGCAGGTTCCTTGCCTGGACCCCTCAGCGTTCACTTCGGATGTGCATATTCCTGAACGAGAAGACTGATATCTATGCTCTGTCGGGATGTTTTTTGAGGTCAGGCACATGAGATATGGGGCTCACTATGTTTAATATGAACATTTGAATCTGTTTTCAGTAATTTAATCAAGGAATTTTTTAATCTGTGTCTGAAAAGATACTAATGAGAGATCGCCGATCGGCGAGCCAACTTCCAAGCTCCGTTTTCAGGTTAGTAAGACCAGCTGATTCAGTCATACTACTAGTACTATGATGTCGCTTCGCGACTCGAAGTCCAGGCGGATTTGTGACAGCCATTCACTGACCTGGGACAGCGGCTAAGCCGGCCCAGTGACCTGAGACTGAGACTCTTCAGTGACTCATCATGAAAATGGTGGCAACCGCCCGGCAGTCACTCCAGTGCGCCGGACTCCGGGACTGGGTGCCGCACACGCGGCACACTGCTACTTGCAGTTGCCGTTCACTGAGGCTACGGTGATCCGGGACTCAACATCCGGGTGACCGTACCGTAAGCCCGGCCGGCGCTGGCTGATACCCGGTGTTGAGTCCTCGAAAGTTCCTCCGAGGCTCCGATCGGAGGCCCTCCGGCGTACTGATTTTTAACTCAACTTTGAACATAAAGAAGTATCCGTTTCCATCTGGCGACCGAATCCGATGATTAGCCCGGCGGCGGGCCTTGCCGGCCCGGCCCGGGCTTGCCTGGGGAGTCGGTCCGACGGTCCGAGTCCACTGCCAGGCTGTGACACCGTAGCTTGAAGAGCTTGACAGGTACCGTACGGAACTTCGGAACCAAGAAAATAAATGCTTTTTAAAAACTACAGTTGGGTACAAATATATTTTTAAAAGCCCTTCTGGCTCCTTTTTTCTATCAGTTTATAATGCTTTGCAGGTGTTTTTGGTGTTTTAGTACGTGTCTCTCTCAACTGTAAAGGGATTTATAAAACATTTATTGGTTATCTGTATTGATCCAGCGCCTCTTGAGCCAGTTGATGGCACAGAATAAAATTATTTATAGAGAAGCAAATCCCGTAAACGGTAAATTTGCGCCCTCCCCCAGACCCTCCCCCCCCCCCTTGTGCCCCTCAAGAGGGTGAGGTGAAGTGAGAGAAGAGCTTGCCGCAATCCACGACAACAGCAAAGAGACCTCAAAGCCCACAGCACTTGTTTGAAGCAACAAAGACAAGAAAGAGCGAACATCATCATCAACAACAACTAGATTCGAAGAACCGCGATATATCATCAGTAATCTTCAAAGAGAAATCTTTCAACCATGTCATCTTCAAGAAATCTCAACAGCCAGGTCTGATCTCATTGACTGATCTGACTCTACTTGTCAAGCCTGCGCACACATATTAAACCCTATGCAGGTTCAGTTCAAGGATGGCTCGGGACCGGCGGACAACTCCAAGCCGAAACCGCCTCGTCCCTCGGTGTGCATGAGGAGCACTGCTGCCTCGGCAGAGACAAGGAAGAAAGGTGAAGAGAAATATTGATCTCCTCCTCCTCCCTCCAGCTCCTGCTTGCTCAATGAACTGACGGACTTGTGTTTGTAGTTGCCAATCGCGGAAAGAACTCTGAAGTTCTCACCACGGGAGGCAAATTCATCCACGAGAAGACCATTGAAGGGAGCACATCTAAGAAGATCATCTCTGGTACCATCGCTTGACCTCCTTGACATGCTCGTGTGGGTAGTGACTTGTGTGCTAAGATCGGTCTGAGTCCGAGAAGGTGAATGACGTAATCCAGCACGCCGCCACCCTCGAAGCCTCCAAGGTCCGCGAGCAGGCGAAGGCAAGTCAGAGCAGCTCTTGTTCTTGCTGCGCTGACGCTAGAGGTCTGCAGGAGAAGGCAGGGAAGTGTGAGTCTGATGGCGTCCTGTTTGATAAGAAGCAGAGCCGTAAGGTGAGTAGGCCGGAAAGTGGAAAGAGAGGGAAAGAGGAAGGGAGGGAGGGGGAGGGACGTTGAAAAGGGAGTCTGATGAAAAGGATGCAGTCCATGTGGGTTTCAGAGTCGAAGAGAGCCGGCGTGAAGGACACAGCAGCCTTGAACCAGACGCATGAGCAGTCGGATATGCAGAGGAAGAAAATTTCCCAGAGAGACCAGTGAGTTGAAGTTGTGGTCAAGAGGAGGGAATCTTACTGTCTCGTCCTGCAGCTCCTCTACCGTCTTCTCCTCAGGAGGCGATTCCATGGAGCATCGCCCCCTGCGGGTGATGAACATCAAGGCAGAAAAACCGCAGGCCCCACAAAAGTGCGAGCGTCTACCATGGGTTGGCAGAGCGACTGACCCTTCGGGTGCAGGCAGCAGACAGCAGCTGAGATCAAGCTCAACGCGGAGCTGAATGCTCTGAGCCAGGGATCTGAGAATCAGAGGTGAGAGAGGAGGTCGAGAAGCGGGTGGTGGAATGAAATGCTGGGGCTCTAGGAGGATGAACGCTACGAAGCAGCACAACTCGTCTATCTTCTCCTCCGACGGAGACTCGAAGCCTCTCTCCCGGTTAGCTCTTCTTGGTCTCCTCCTTTTATCTTTGACGCAGCTGCCAGCCCGGCAACCAGCGGCGGAAGATCGTCAAACAACATCTTCAGCGGAGGAGCTTACGCTGAGGTAGGAAGGATGGCCGGGTGTAGCTGCGATGACTTGAAGATTAGGATGCCGCCAAGACTCGCACCTTGACCAGAGATGTGCCAGCAATTTCAACTGCTTGCATGACTGGTGATTCTCTTCCCAGCCCCCCGCCCCCCGACCCTGCACCCCCCAGCTCTCTCTCTACTCCTTTCCTCATTCAGTGTTGTTCGAGTTTTGACACAACAGCAGGAGGAGGAGGAATGGAGTCCGCCCGGGCTCGCAGGGATCAGGCACTGCGAGGAAGCGGCAGCTTGTGGTAGGAAAGACGAGGACGAGCATGTACATAGAAAGAAGCACTCACAAAGTCTGTCAGTCCCTTAAGTTCGATATCATCGGTCCTCCTTTTTGTGTTTTTGTTTTTGGTATGTGAGAATAAAGCTCATTGTTATGGTAAATTGTGACAACATCTTCAACATCATCTTACATCGCTAATACTTATATACTTTACAAGAAACAGCCAGGAAGCCTTCATTCAGACAACCAGCGCTGTCTTCCATACTGCATCTGGAGTGAACTCACCAGTTGGAAAACTCTGCATCATGTTCTGGAAAGCGAAGTGATTCGTGTCCTGTCAACGAACGTGCGTCAAGGTGAACATGTGAGGTGTCGTTGTCGTCGCTCACTATGAGGGAGATGGCATTGTAAGAGAAGAGGCCCAGGTAAGTTTCGTTCCTGTATAAGATGATGGAGCCCTGTTGTTTCACCACAAGACATGAGAGATAGCAACAGAGAGACCGAGGAAGAGAGAAGGTGGGGGGTGAGGGATAGAGAGAGAAACTTGGAACAACTCCAGGAACGAGGAATTTAGAAAACAGAGAAATGGAGGACAAACAAAGGAGAAGAAAGGATCATGACGATTAGGTGGGAGCAACAACTGACATCAGACGTCTAGGAACTTATGTCCTCGGACAAGTTACGAGGCTACTGACCGTGCTGGTAAATTCTTGCGAGTCGCTCCCAATCACTTCGATGCTCGAGGCCGTCGCTGACGTCACCAACCAGATCCCTCCCGTCGAGGTTGTGACAGGCGTCGGGAACTGCCATAGGCGAGAGGTGAAGAGGCGGGGTTGGGGGGATGGAGGGCGGGTAGAAGGAGGAGCAGGAGCAGAAGCAGAAGCAGGAGAAGGAGGAGAAGGAGAAGGAGGAGAAGGAGAAGGAGAAGAAGAAGGAGAAGGAGAAAGAGGGAGGGTTGGAAGGAGCAAGAAGTGATGAAGTTGGAGGAGGAAGAGAGCAAAAAAAAACATTACTGCTGGGCTAGAGAACTCGCGAGCATACATTGAACTTGCGGTTGCAAACAGTGTTTCCCCACTCGTTGATCCCGCAGTAAGTCAGATCTCCCGTTTGCAATGCGATCACGTTGTGGGAGTATCTGCCATCAGCCGTCAATCTCGTGCCATCTACAGCCTTCTTTCCTCACCCTGTGGCAATCGCGATCGGGAACCCTGGAAGGCTCGAAGGCAAGGTGAAGTTGAGAGGCTCGAAGACGCTGCTTGTGTTCCCATTGCCGACCTTGAGAGCCCCACTAACGTCAGCACAACTGGAACAAGCAGTTCCCTTCCTCCTCCTCACCTGTCCAAACTGATTCCAGCCCCAGGTGAAGAACGTCAAGGTGGTGGTGATAGCCAAGCAGTGATAGGCGCCACAGTCGATCATCAGCCCTCGAAGAGGAGGAAGCGAGGAGACTAGCTGAGCCTCAGGATGGGCGAGCATGTCGGCTGATCCGATCCCCAGCTGACGAGCGAGTCAAGGGGATCATCAGCCAGCAAGTAGGAAACGTTCACCTGCCCGTCACGGTTGCTTCCGAAGGAGAACAGCTCTCCGATGTCGTTGACGTAAACCGAGTGATAGGCACCAGCAGCGATGGCGTCAACGAAGAGGAAGCCAGGACTGTTCTTCCTCACCCTCACCGGGTAAGCCTGGCTGATCGTGTTCCCGTTCCCTAGCTGCCCCTGAGCATTGTAACCCCACGTGTACACGTTGCCGTTGGAGCTCAGCGCCACCACATGGAAGGCTCCGAGCGCGATGTCGGAGATGTGGATCCCCAGGGAGGACAGGGAGGTCACCAACGTCGGCGTGTACCTATAGGTCTGATCCCCCGTCCCCAGCTGCCCGTACTTGTTGTCCCCCCACATGTACACCTCCCCGCACCTGCATGTCTGGACGCCAGCCGCGTACAGCATCATCTCCAACCCCGAACCCTGCGCGTTCCCGGACCTCGTGCCCAGCACTGGCAGCGCGATGAAGTTGCCGATGCTCGTTGTGGGCAAGCAGGAGGGCCCTGAGAAGCGGTCAGCTCCGCACATTCCCGTGAGGGCAGCGGCGAAGGTTTTGGAGAACGCGGCCTTGCTGATGTAGGTGTTCGCCAGCCCCTCCACCAGCTGGGGGACGAGCCGCCTCTTGTATGGGTAGCAGTCAAAAACCGTATTCGTCTCCACATAGCGAGCAGACTCCGGGTTTGAGTTGGGCACCTGGTTCGCTCCACTATCCATGGTGGGGTCCATGAAGTTAGTTATGTCGTCCCACGGTGCGAAGTAAGTCTTGGCTGGGAAGGGAGCGCAGCCTGCTCCTAGCTGCCCTTTCGACCCATCTCCCCACACGAAAAGTTTCCCCTCCTCAGTCACAGCACCTGACGTGGATGCTCCGGCAAACACTTCCAACACCCTCTGGAAGCCCATGGACGCAATGAAGTCCACTCCGTTGTACAGCGCACCAGAGGCGTTCTGGAGAGACTTGAGGAGGATAAACCTCGGCCTGTCGAACAGATCTCCAAGGCCCAGCTGCCCTCTATCATTCGCTCCTACCGCATACACGAGCCCTTCGTCTGTCGCTATCAGAGTGTGGCCGTCGCCGGCGGCTACGCTAGTCACAACCACCTTGATGAAGATAGTCAGTAGAGAGGGGAGAAGAGAGCAGCACGATAGCACCTGAACGTTGGTATAGGGGGACAGGGGCAGGTTGCTCAGAGGATTGGGAGCGAGGACGTCTGCATATCCTCAGTGAGCCATGAACGTGGCATTCAAATGGACCTGTTGTGATGTTGACTATACCTCCGCCTGCCTGCAGCTGCCCATGGTTGTTTCTGCCCCAAGTAAGCACACCACCTGGACCTCTGTTCTCAACGAATGGCTTCGGGCTTGCACTTGAGCAGATCTTGACCAACAGAACAAGAGAACAAAACGCTTGCTGATGAATCATTCTTGCCCCTCAGAGCAAGTGGCTCTGTGCTATGAACCAAAGAATGTGACGCTGTTGCATTCCTGCTCAAGAAACTCCATGCTTGCTTCCTCTCCTTCCTCCTTCCTCCTCATCTCATCGCATCCCTGCATGCTGCTACGCCCTCCCTTCCATGGATCCGATCCTATCCAAGAAACCTTCACAAACCTTGGCCATCGCCCTCATCACCACTCAGACCAGACTCGGCACACTGATGGCCTGACTGATGGCTGCCTCATTCGATTCGGGCCTAGTATTTTGTTGAGGCGGGTTTGTCGAATTTATCCTCGACCTCAATAAAATAAGCCAGTGCATTTTTTTATGACAAGGGTCACGATGCCACCGACCTGCAGACTGACTGGCGGCCCGGCGGGCCCGCCAAACGGCAGTGAGTACTGATCTTTAACTTAACTTTCAAGTTTGTACTACCGTATGCCGCCGCGGCCCGGTCACCACGCTACTGAAGGATCGGATCGGATCCGATCGGACACACGGGCCCACTGAATGACACAGTGGACACAAGTAAAGAGGGATTGATCAAATAATTCAATTCATTCATAAACCTTTCAATCCGTGGCATGAGCAGAAGACCTGAGAATGAATAGCAACGGCATACATGTACAAGAGGAGAAGGAGGGAAAGAGGTAAGGGAGGAGGTCCTGAGAGATTATCAGTGGATTGGCGGCTGCGTGCGGAAACTGCCGAGCAGCGTCTTTCCCTCCTCTCCCTTGGTGTTTGGAGTGTTCTTGGCGCTCCTCGACAGCCTCCTTGTTGGGCTTGCTTCTCTCCTCTCTGTTGACGACTTGGTCTGCCTCCCCGGTTACTGCTGGCACAGAGCTCAAACACTATCAAGTCCGGACGTACCGCTGCGTTCACGTCCGCCTCCCTGACCTTGACCTCTCCAATGACGCCGCGATCCTTCCCGTCCTTGACGATGAGCTGAGAGGGGCAAGAAGTCAGTGCCAGGAGGAGCAAGTCAGCGGGGGCAGAAGGAGGAAGAGTTGATGGGAGAAAGACGAGATGAGAGGGATGAGGAGGAGAGGAGGGAGGAGAGGAGAAGGTAGAAGAGGAGAGGAGAGGAGAAAAGAGAGAGGAGGGAGGGGGGAGAGGAAGGAAATCAACCATGAGCTCGCGCATCCTCTCTTCGATGTAACGGAGAGCAACGTCCACGTCTTTGGTGTCTTGCTTGGGACGGGATTCGGACAGGTGCGTGTTGCGACACCTGAGCAGATGTGAGCAGCAACAGCGGGCTCCTCCACTGCCACAGGAAGAGACCTGTTGTACAAGTTGAGCACCGCGAGCCGAATCTGAGAAACGAGTGAGTGGGGGGAGAGGTCTAGATGCAAGATCTTGTACCTCCCCGAGCATCCGGATGTCGTTGGAAGAGTCGTCATTCCTTATCTCCAGGTTCGACTCGCACATCACCTGGGAAGGAAGGGCGCTGGTCATTCAGGAAGGGAAGGGGGAGGAGGGGAGCGAAGAGAGGCATGTGACTACGCGGCTGCGGTCACCGACCGTGTCCAACTTCGCCACTTCCAGGCGATTTTGCAGCTCCCCCACGGCGCTACTTTGCGTCAGGACCTGTTCGCATCATCAGCACCGGCTGCATGGGAGGGAGCGAATGACTTTGTTCTGCATCTCTTTGGAGAGTTGGGCGAGTTTCTCCTAAGGTCAAAGTGTCAGGGAACAACCCTCGATTGATCTTCCTGCATACTTGTGCCGCCTCCGCTTCCGCCATGTTTGCAGACACAGCTTCCTACAGCAGACTTCAGCAAGACAGATTGAGATCGAAAACAAGGGCTACTTTCAGCTCTTGGCATGTGAAGACCAACGTGGGATATCTCTTCTTCGTGACTTTTCACGATCATGTAAGACAGCATGAAACATGAGCATGCCAACCCTCACTGTCTTCTATTTCGCTGAAATCTTCGCTGAAGTCCACAACACTCTCTAAGTAGTTCTAAGCTCACAGTTACTTCATACAAGTCAAGGAACTCGTCCAGATTCGCCACCTGATACATCAGTCCGCCCTCAAGCTTGTTCTTTGCCTCGTCCAACCTTTTTCGCAGATTCTTCACTTCTGCCTTGAGCTGATAGAGAATTTCAACAAAACTTCGAAGTCATGAAACTTTGACTGACGATTTCTATCTCTTCCTCCTTCGCCTTTCTAATTTGAACTTCCTCCTTCGCTCGTTTTTCCGCTCTTTCCTGAGAGGCGATGAGAATCATGAATACCAAGAAAGAAGTTGAGCTACTCGTTTTGCATTGAATTCTTGGAGGAAACTAGACAGGACATGCCATCATCCGACGCCAGAAAGACAAGAATATCAAACGTACAGCTTGTAGTTCTCCGATTCCAGCTTTAACTTTGCCTGTTTCATAGCTAACAGTTCCTCTTTCTCTTTGCATTTCGCCATTCTGCAACAACATCAGCTCTCAATCCTGAAGTCGAAATGTCTCGTCACCGGATGTTGAACTCTGTCTTCTTCTCATCCAACTTTGCCTGAACTTCGGCCATCTGTGATGGTTGCTTTCAGTCAAGGAGGGATACAGCATCGTTGCAACACAGAACCTCTTTGTTCGCTTGAATGAGATTGGAGCTCTGTGCGCTGTTTGTCGCTGGCTCCGCTCCTTTTGCACTGAGTGGTCATTAGACATTCCTTCTTCCGGCGTCAGAACGCTAACCTGTCGATACGAGGCAGCTTGACCAGTTTCTGAACTTTCTGCCCGGACACTTGAGCTCTCTACAAGAAGGTCATGAGACCTTAAGAGTGTTTCTGAAGCGTACTTGGGTGATGAACATGGTGACTGTGTCCGCATCTGCGTTCATTTTCCCTTCACTGTCGGGCATCAGCACCGTCCTGCGGTGATTTATTACGAATGAGTTGAGTGTGAGAGGCAAGTCAAACCTTGACTTCAAGTTTGCTACTCCCTGGTTGCTCGCCATGACGGAAGTCTGTGAGATCCCTTTGAACGAATGATCAGCTTGTCGGCTTGCCCGGCTCGAAATCAAAACAATATCCGATTCCTTTCTCACCGCCTTACCCATCTCCCCCTTCCTCCTTGTTCCTACAATTGATCATCATCTTCACAACTGTTTCACCACGAAGTTCTTGCTGACTTCTCTTTCATCTTATCTCATCGTCTCGTCAACCATTTCTGTTTCTCCATTCCTTCCTTCATTCCACTCTTCAATTTCGTCGCCGCTCTCAACGCATTCAGGCTGGTGATAACGTCTTAAAAAGAAATCATTTTTGGGTTCACCAAATCCCAGAGCAATACCGGTACTATGGATAGTTTGTGTGCAATAAAAAAGAACTCTCGCAAATCCGTTCCCTTCAATTTTGAGACTACGGGGGAAAAAAGATCGACGGTTGACCCGGCGAAAAATGCAGAGTTGATTCCGAGTTGACAAGACAAGGTTGCATGAACAAGGAGCTAGAAAGCTCAATCAAGCGTAGGTGAAGCAACTCAGAGATCTATGACGTCAGCATCGGTGATCGTAGACTGTGCATGAAGTTTATTGGTTTGAAACCTTCTCAACGAGACGTAAAGAATCCATCTAACCGGCTTCTATTGCGAAGTGAATGCACTTGGTCTAAAGGAAGCCTTGGTAGTCTGCCATCAAGTCAAGATAGTCAGTGAGAACATTTCACAATCACCTGGTTCTCCTCGACGACTCTTCTCTTGAAGTAAGGAAACCACTTCTCAACCATTTAGATTCGTTCGCTACCGTCCCCTCTAGATTCCTTGCTCGTTTATCCAGATGTGCTCCCCCATGCCGATCCAACTCCTTACTCAACTCCTTGTACCGTGCCAGGGAGTCAACAGAAGGTTGCGTCCAGTCGTCACTAGTAGGACATCCTAGAAGAGGCATCTTCCTCCCTAACGTTAACTGTTGCGACAACCCAGACTTGGATTTCAGGCTCGGCAGACTCCTCTGGCTGATCTCTTTAGGCAGAGGAGCCTGCCGAGTCCTCATGAACACGTCTTGCAGCATGTCCACCACGTCGCCTTCGCTCCCGTACCGCACGTCCAGCTTTGTCAGTGCCTGCAGGCGAACCTCGGGGAGGTGCGCGGACGCGTGCTCGAAGCATTCATCCGACAGGGACAAGTAGTCTGAGCGGTCGGCTGACACGAACCTCAAGTTGGAGAACCTGGACAGTGCGAGAGGCTCGATCTCGTTCCCTCCAATGCACTTGGCGACCCACACGCGGATGTCGCGCAGAGACTCTCGTCCCTGGAGGGTGCAGGTGTAGCTCATGGGAGCTAGCCTCTCCTCGAAGCTGACATAGATCTTCAGGTCGGTCGTCGTCACCTGGATGCGGATCTCGTTCCCGTTCTCAAACGTCAAGAGCTCCTGTCCTCTGGAGCTGAACAGAATCACTTTGCAGTCGACCATGGGCAGACGGGTCGGCGCGTGGATCCCAGCAACTGCCTGTACGATGAAGGAGAAGTTGATGATGAACATGCGGCCGATGTAGGCCTGTCGGTTGGACCAGCTGTTGAGGGTGTAGCCCTTGAGCTTCTTGAGCGGTTCCAGCTCTATCTTGTCCACTGTCGATCCATTCCGGACCAGAAACCTCGGGAGGAAAGACATGCTGCAACCAGATCACTTCCCTCTCACAAAAGCTAAAGAGGGCTTCACTCACCAGGGCACTGCAGTGCTGCAAGCTGAACCTCGTGGCACCAGCAAGACTCTCCCGGAGAAGGTCTTTCCGAAGTGAACCTTGGTGACGAGCTTTCCTATGTTGTCTCTGTACAAGTCCCCCACGTCGAGCTTCGCATACAGGACATCCGGGGTCGAAGGCTGGCCATTGAGGACAGCAAACACCCCGAAAGCCTCTACTGTAGCTGTGCAGTAGTCGGTTGAGAACTCCGCAGACAAGATCTTCTCAGGGAACATCTTTCCGACAGACCAGTGGTAGAGGTTCAGATGAGAAGTCGACGAGCACCGGTGCGGGATTTTGACTTGAAAAGGCTTCATAGTCTTCAGCTGATGCCCGTCCACTCTGACTTCCACCAACGGACTGACGATTATTCCAAGCTCCCCCTTGCCGCAGTCCTTGAGCGTCGCCTCCGAGGCTCGTAGGGACACCCGCGCTGTGTGCTCGAGCGTGTTGGGCTCGAAGTTCATCTCAAGAGCCCACTCGGAGGCCGGAGGGCATGGGAGGAAGTACTTGGCTCCGAACGGCACTGTGACACTCCGAGTCATCTCCAGCCTGTCCCGACTGCTCCCGACCACTTTCATAATTTCAATCCTGCACATTGCCGGTCAGGTGTAAATTTGGAATCAGAGAAGGAGATATCGCACGAGGTCTGTCGGTATTCAAGGTATGTCTGCGGCTGCTGTCCCACGTTCTTCTCAGCTTGGTTCGGCTGCTCCATGATCTTGACGAGGGACGCCGGAGGTTCAGTGTCGGAGTGTACTCGCGGCAGTTGCATCTCAGACTCTGCTCCCTTCCACCACCTGCCAGTCAAGTCAGGTGAACTTTGATCGTCTCTGAGCATACTGCAGGAAATATCTGCCGCAGGACCCGGTGAAGTAGGACGAGATCAGCCCCGATGACACCCACTGCACCTTCCAGAGAGCTTTGCTTGACAGGAGCGGCTCGAGCAAGACTCCAACCCCGTTGTCCCCGGCCACTCGATGTCCGTTAGTGTACTCGTACTCCTTGCCCTCGTGAGTCAGGATGACCGTCTTGCCGGGAGCTGCTCGCCACGGGGAGACGTACTTGGAGTTCCTCTGACTTGACCAGAGCCCGAAGAAGTAGTAGAGGGGCCCGTATAGGAAGTGTTTGACGCTCTTCTTCCCCCTCTGAATCTTGTCTTTCAAGGTTTGGATGTACAGGGCCCAACTTCTGAAGGACTTGTGTATTGTCCGCCGCAGCCACTTATAGAGGATGTCGTTCTTCTTGACGTTGGTGGCTTGTGCGCTATCCTGCTGCCCTTCTAGCTTCCCATCCTTTGTCCACAATGTCGACTGCACAAAGTCAGACGAGGCCGTAAAGGAGCAGGGTCTCGGATACAGATACCTTGCCGAGCACCTTGTCTGACTTCTGTGTCGGCAGTTGGCCAAGAACGACAGCAGAAGAAGAATCCTTGCAAAGAGCAAACGTGAGATCGAAGCAGGACAAGAAATCCCAAAGAGCAACCTCTCTGTGAATGGAAACCGAGTTCGCTAACGTTCCAGCAATTTTCATCTTCTTCCACTCGGTTACTTTGTATTTACAGAAATTGACATCTGAAACCGCTTTCCTCACTTGCTCATGATTGCTTTCGGCTCGTATTTCCCTGACAACCCTCCTGGCAATCCAACTTCTTACTGCACACTGTATCATCTCAACTCTTGGGATCTGCCTCTTCAGCCAGAGGTTCATCTTGAACCTGTACTTTCGGAACATTCGCTGTATGGCGACGCAGGCAAGTCTCTTTGTGTCTTTCTTGGAGCTGTGGAAGAAACTCCTTGCTCTGTGTGATCTCTGCGCACACTGGAGCATTCTTGCGGCAACATTCTCCTTCTTCAACTTCAAGAGTTTCATCAGATTTGAGCATACGGCAGAGTTCAAGAACTCAAGGGTGCGAGCCTCAGTCTCGGAGTAGTTGGCGATGAACGTCAGGTACTTGCGATATGGGACCGTCACAAGGGTAGAGTCGATCGTGGCCCGCACGCAGAACTCGCACTTGACAAACTTGGTCCCCAGCAGACCAACCTCTCCTATGAACGACCCCGGGCCCAGCGAGCACGAATGCCGAGGGATGTCTTGCAACGTGAACTCTCCGTCGATGACTACGGCAAACTCCGACCGGTTTTCCCCTTCCCTGCAGTAGAACTGCCCCTTGCTGTAATGTCGAGCCTTAGCAAGTAGAGCGAGCAACTTGACCTGGTCCTTGCTCAGCCCAAGACTGAAGATTGTGTCGTTGCTGTCGACTAGTGTCGAGAAGATCCTGATGGCGAGCTCTTTGTCCGGGTACTTGGACAGATGCTTGCCCGATACCTGGGCGTTCAAACTTCCCGGGAGATGTGATGCGTCAAGCACCATCGCTGTTGACGTCAATCAACCAAGTGAGCTATCTAAAACCCCAAGTGAGAGCTTCTCCTACGGAGCCCAGGTCTTTCCTTCTCATCCCATGCTGCTCACGCACAAGGCAATGGAGAGTAGAGTTAACGGCGATATTCACGACAAGGTCATCCCAGACTTGCGGAGAGTGAAACATGAGATTCTGATTATCATCCCAGCTTAAACTCCAGCATCATCTTCTCAATCTTGCCATTGCTGTCTTGCAAGCACAACATCGGTCACGCCACATACTGTCCTACCAACGCCCGCGCGCGACTGGCATACCTGCCATATTATCTTATCCTCACGTTTCAGTCAACGCTAGCCTGGTACTAACGGACCCACCGTAGGCCCGGACATCGGGTTCTTCGAGCGGCAGATCCCAGACATCGTAGAGCAGAGCAGAGTCCTTTGATCCGATCGAGTGAGTCCTTTGATCGAGTGAGTCCTTTGATCGAGTGAGTCCTTTGATCGAGTGAGTCCTTTGATCGAGTGAGTCCTTTGATCGAGTGAGTCCTTTGATCGAGTGAGTCCTTTGATCGAGTGAGTCCTTTGATCGAGTGAGTCCTTTGATCGAGTGAGTCCTTTGATCCGATCGAGTGAGTCCTTTGATCGAGTGAGTCCTTTGATCGAGTGAGTCCTTTGATCGAGTGAGTCCTTTGATCCGATCGAGTGAGTCCTTTGATCGAGTGAGTCCTTTGATCGAGTGAGTCCTTTGATCGAGTGAGTCCTGGTTTGTTGGTCTGAATAGTTGGATGATTGGAGACGGGATGATTGGAAATGGTCGTGAGTTGGATGGAGACGGTGATCTGGCAAAGACACATACACCATGTAAGCAGAGATGCTGATGTGATCTCGAGTTGTCAAGCAAGGAGGTTGATTGACAGACCGTGCAGGAAGCAATACAACGCATTTCTGGCGCACGAGGTAACTCACTTTAGATAGTAATGCTAGACGCTCAATGCAGGCTTCAAAGTTTCCAGCATTCTTGAATGAAGCAATCTTGGTAAAAAGGTGAAAGATATAACGATAACGATGTATCTCTTTTGAAAACCTCAATCTTGTCAGTTAAGTTCAGGGCTGTCGGGTCGCAAGGATTACTGAATCAGAAGATCACGACTGATCTATACTCATTGGACCCTGCGAATGGTTAAAAGATAAGGTCTACAAGGAAATAAGTTGAGAAAAGTTTATTTGATTTGCATCAGCTGGTTGGACTTATTCCTCGAGCGAGAATTCCACGCCGTCGGACAGAAACATCACACTTTGAAAGAACTCAATCCCAAGGTCTACCAAACCCCCTCGTTGTTTTCTCGGCTCTGTCTCCATACACAAGGTTTGTGCATGTTACCAATTTGCAGTCTTTTTCAAAGCTTCTGGGAGGACCAAATCAAATTCGGCTGATGCTTTTCAATCTTAGCTACACCGCTTCCATCATGCCCTTCCCCCAACCTCCTTCTCTTCTTTCCTGAGGATAAGGTGCGATGGAAAATGAAACAGAAGCCATTGTGAATGGCTGTCAAGAACATCATCGTCGAAGACAACTTTGGCGGCCAAATTACGATTGTGCTTCATCATGCACTTGAAAATGAAAACCTCTGTTTTTCTTGGTTTTCATCTTTTTCCGTCCAAACCAAAGTAGATCGCAATAATATCCTTGATATCACGATAGCACTTCCGTATCAAAAGCTTGTTTCGCATCGATGCTTTCCGAACACGAAGCATTTCACATCCCGATGAGAGCAATTCTCTTGATTGCTTGCCTCCATGCTCGACTTTTTTTCAGCTCATTAATGCTGGCGGCAATCCTCGCCTCTAGCTGCAGTAGTTCGCGTAGCCTGCTCTCGATCTCGAGCTCGGCTTTCTTTGCCCGGCCACCTCCTGAGCCCGGAGCTCGGCTTTCTGTTCCTGCTCATTAGTGCTCCCAGCGATCCTCTCCACTAGCTGTAATAGCTCGACACTCACACGCTCGATCTCCAGCTCGGCTGTCTCCTGCAGTAGTTGGACCCACCTATCACGTTTGTGTTCGATCCCTGCAAGTAAAAGCATCAAGGCTTCCTCAGCCTTAGTCAGAAGAGTTGCCTCTCCTCACCTTGGCCTTCAGTTGCCCCCTACCTCCTCTCCTTACCTAGCTTACCTCGCTGACTCGTTGGTCGCCGGAGTCCTCGAGTCCCCTTCTTGTCCACCTCTTCTTCGCCGTGCTGTCTTGCTTTCAGCTCAAGCTCAGTGCGGGCTCGCCCTGTCGCCTTCCTCGCCCTCGCCTTGCTCTTCTTCCATGTCCTCCTCCTCTTCATCATCTTCCCTCATCTTCAGCCGCAGTCGGGTTTTCTTGTCCACCTTCAGTGAGCAGGCCAGCACATGCATCTCTGCAAATTTACTCAGTGCTATGAACAGGAAGCTAAGAGATCGACGCTCTATGTCGTCGCTCTCCGCCTCCTGCTCAAGCTCAGCCGCTGCCGTTGCCCGTGGCGAGAACGCGCTGCCCCTCCTGGCCTTCTTGCTGTCTCCCTGCACGCGAGTCCAGCGCTTGCTGTGCAGCCACTCCGCCAGCTGCTCCTTGAGAACATTGCGTCCCACTCCCTGCTCCTCTGGGGTCTTCGCCCACTCTCCCAGCGACATGAACTCCAGGCTTTCCGGTGAGTAGAAGGTGTCGTGGAGGTTTCCTACGGCCTTGTCCAAGACCAGCTTGATCCGCTCGCTCGTCCTCATCTCGTTCAAAGAAGTTGCCTCCTGGATGACTGCTGAGAGCTCGCACACGAGCTGCATGTCGTCTTTGCTGGATGGAGAAGCTGCCTCCATTGTGATCCTCTCCAGGTCTGTAAGCTCCAGCCACTCTCCCGCGCTCTCCTCATGCTGAGCGTCGCCGCTACCTCCTCTCAGGCTTCATGTTGAAGCCGACTGCTTCGAGCTTGATTGCTGCGCTTTCTAAAGAGAAAGGCAGCTCCTTCGTCATGCGTCGAGCATCCTCCATAGAGTCAAGGAAGATGCATATCTTGGACCCGTTCCACGACTTGGTGCTTCGGTCCTCCTCCACGTCGATCCCTTCGACATTGATCTCGACTCTGTCCTCTCTGATCTTCGGGTCCTCGCTGAACAGAGTCAGATGCACTTCCTCCATCGCTTCGCTCTCTCGAAAGGCTCGGAAGGCTCTTTCAATCTCTCTTAGCCTCCACTGGAAGCGATACACGTCGGCAATTTCAGCCGTCGTCATTCCATCACGAGCTTCACGAGGGGCGGTATCATGTTTACTTGAGAGCAATCCTCTTGATGCTACGCTCAATGGGCCATGAGTAGCTGCGTGATCGATCGCAACATGCAGCAGTGTGAAGTCTTTTCTTGATTACTCAACTAGTGAAGTAATAATGATTTAACATAATAATTAACCGGCGCACGTACTCGTTCCGGCGATCGGCTGACCCTCACCCCCTGCAGGCGGGCTGCTAGGGTATGTGTTCCCAATGGCTCAGCCTCACATGAGGGGTGGTCTTCCCTCTGCCAGGGGTTGCGCGGAAACAGGGAGCGGGGTTGCGAGTTGCAAGATGTGGACATGTCGGTTGCGTGAACAGGGAGCATGGCCGAGATGACGGTCATGGTGGAAGAGGATGCAGGCAAAAGCTTGAGGCCTGGAAGAATCTCCTCTCAGCCAAACTGCACAGAAGAGTTCCCTCAGGTGTGGCTCGACTATCTTGTGGAGAGCACCAAGATAGAGGGTGACAGGCTACAAAATTCTCTGGAAGCTGCTCGAACCAAGATCTTTGCGAATAAGAGCTTTGAGATTCTCTGTTCTTCACATCCCTTCACCTGGTTTCTGTCTGTGAGGATCTTCCAAGCGGGTTTGGCTGTCATTGCTTTCCTTTTCCTGTTTTTGCCACTGTCTCACTCAGCGACTTGGTCGCTTTCAAGCATTAGTCAGCCCCAAGGAGCGTCTCGTTTCTTTCGATTCACTGCTAGAAAGCTTCAGAATGGACTGTCAGGGCCTGCCATAACATCTCCTGGGATACAATCCTTCGGAGTGCTGAGAGGGGACTGTTTGATTCCGAGGTATCCGCTAGGAGACGAGTATGTTGAAGAGAGGCAAGGAGCTTCCGTGACTTTGAGATTAGATGCCTCGCACTCTTTCGATGGCTGGTACTTTCTCACATCCAACTCTAGCAATGAGTTCAACCCCGTCGAATTCACCCTTGAGTCATCCAGCGACGGCGAGCACTGGAAAGTCTACGTGATGCAGTCCATGCAGTCGTTGGATCGAGTAGTTCCCGTCCCTGTAGGTCAAGACGTGCTCGAGCAAGACTTCTCGAGGATGTTGGCTTCGCTTCCACGAAATCAGCTCATCAAGATCAGCTGGAACGCGATCAAATGCCGGTGGCCTGCATATGCGAGGGTCTTGGAGCGATTGTTCAAGGGGCTCGGAATCTTGCTTGCTGTAGCATGCGCGCATCTAAAAAGGCTCCACGCGTCGGTACCGGTAAGTGTGCTTGTAAACCCGATACTCATATGCGAGTGATGGGGAGATGGTAGATGCTGTGCTTGGGATATTTCCTCTCGGCAGCTGTTGGCATGTCCGAGTTCATTGTCACGTGGAGCAGCTGCAACTTAGAGGTGGAGTATGCGGCGCTGATCGAGAGCCTCATGGTACTGCCCGTCTCGTCCTCTCCCTCTTCTGAGTCCCTTCCCTCCAGATCCTGCTGCTTTTTCCTTGTCCTCTCGTTGTTCACGAGTGCCTGGTGTTGGAGCTGGGGGCAGCGTCATCAGCGATTCTCCTTGGGGTGGAGGCTGCACTGAGATCAAACGGGGCATACATGAGAATCGTGCAGCTGCTTTTCTTTCTTGTCTTGATGGCAATCCGTGAATACCTCAGAGCTTCCTCCCGCAAGTCTGCCATGAATCACCAGGCCGAGCTGGAGAAGGTTTGGGAAGACATACTATCCCAGGGAGGCGACTCAAGCTTGAGAGAGCTGCATGAAGTGGCTTACACTGGTTGCAAAAGCGCTCGGAAGCACTTGCGGCAATTTTGTCTTGCACCAATTCAGACAAACCAAGGAGATGCAAACCTAGATGTCGAAAGGATTCGAGCCTTGGAAGCATTCTCTTCATCGAAAAGATCTTGCTCACCTTCTACGCACGAATCATTTGGAGCTTTTACCTCCCGCTCAAGTGTAAAGCTTTCGGAAACAAACGAGATCACTAGTTTTGACCAACTGTACGCCCAGGGGGTTGTGATGCAGAAAGTGTTTGTTGACAAATTGGTGGTCATCGTTGAAAAACTGCAGACCTCGCACGGGTGTATCGCTCGTTTCCATGAGACTCCCATGAAGAGCTTCGAAGCAAGCTACGAAAAGATCTTACGAAAGTACCATGGAGCCGTTGCAAGACATACGGATCTGGTGCGGCAGAGCATCGTCTTCGAGCGGATACAAGACATCACAGAGTGTTTGCGAGTGCTGTTTGAAGACCGAGGGGTGGTGATTGTGAGCCTCACGAACAGACTCGCTGTGAAGGACGAGCACAAACATTTGGGACAGGTCAGGGATGTTTGTCTCAAAATTCGATTATTTACAGAGCAATCGCGGTTCTACGGCACATGCGCGTTTGTTTGTGAACTTCGACTGGTTCTGGCCCGTCTGCAAGCTGCGGCAACCTCGAACATGTTGGACGATTTGAAGTCATACCGGCGCATCCACCAGATCGACCTGCCTGCGCAATGCTCCTTGTTCTTGGCGATGCTAGACTCGTTCACTTGGTTGCTGAGGGTGAGGCATCATAAGATCCGTAGACTGTCAAGGGTTGCGGTGGAGAATCTTGGCGGTGCAGGCGAGGAGGCCGAGTCTCTGAACTCACTCTACCAATCAGCCCCTCACTGCTGGTCTGAAGAACAAAGGCATAAGGACCTGTTAAGACAGAGATGCCTGATTGCTGGAAACATCCTCGGGGCGAGGCTCAAGGAGCGGCGACATGCAGTCAGGAAGACGGGAAGCAGCAGCGTGCTCTTCACTTCCATTCCTTGCACGCTTGCGATACAGAAGGTCTCTTTCAAGGTGTCGATGGTGATTGTTGGCATCTTCTATGTGGTGCACACGTTCGGACCCGGAGGGATATGGTATGATTTCGCTGGCCAACAAGTGTTCCAAGTGCAAGCTGCAAGGATGAAAGTTTTGCAACAGCGGGAGGACAGACTACCAGCCGGTGGGAACTACTCACTTAAGCTCGGTTGGATCTTGAATGGTTGTAAGGTCTCTTCTGCAGTGGAGGGAGTAGAGAAGGAGAACAACTTTTACTTCTCCTTCAAGAGTTTCGAAGCCGCCAACGCCTTCTACTTCATCACTGACAGTCGCCTCGGCACCGAGGGACTTGACCCCGTTCGATTCCAGCTGGAGGTCACCACTTCTTCAACCAAGAACCCGTGGGAGCTGCAAGACTCCAGCTGGAGGCTGAAAGCAGGCACCCGATGCAAGTGGGATATTTACACCACAGCCTGCATTCCCTTCTGGGAGGAGGCCTATCCCACAACCTTAGAGCGAGGAGCTGAGAACGAGGTGACGCTTGTCGCGCCTCTGTATGAAGCTCTCGACACGATCTTCTACATCTTCCCGGTGATCTTCGGCCTCTTCACCGGGTCCTTGTTGAGCGTTCTTGGGAAGCCTCGCACGGGTATTGTGCTCTTCTCCTTTAGCTTCTGCGGGCCTGGTTTCTTTCAGATCACTAGTGGAATAATCCACATGGCCGTCGACGGATGGGCGACCGACCTTGTCCGATTGTTCTTTGAAGGCTTTGCGGCTTTGATCTCAGGATTGCTGCTGGTGTTCTGGGAAGAGAAGTTTGTCCCTTTTCTTCCGTTCGACGCCTTGATGAACTACTTTGCTGTCAACTTCCACTACTTTCTTGTACTTGAGAAAAGACAGTTTCAGATTCCAGTCAACGGATCGATCCTGCTGCTGGGCTGGCTGATTGCGCGCATTGCACGCAGAATTGCAATCGTTCGAGCATGGCAGGGGATCAAGGACGACTCGAAGCATTACAACGAGGTTTGGCGGGCATTGACGACCAACGAAGAGTCGATGGCGCAAGTGACGAGGTTGAAGGAGACTGTCGGTGCTGGGCACAAGGCCTGGCGGAAGGGGGCCATATGTCAGGTGAAGGCGGGAGAGCAAGAGCATAGCCCTTCATTGTTCGACCGACTCTTACGACATAACGCGGGGAAGATCGCATGTCTGGATCAGCTCTACAATCAGGCCATGCTGCTTGAGCTAGCCTACCTACGCAAGGTGAAGGAGCTGCTCAAGAAGTGGGGTGGGCTCGTGCAGGATGTGGAGGCTGGGGAGGAGGGACCAAGAGAGGTCAAGTGGGTGCGATACGAAGAAGGGAATGCGCAGTATCGACACAGCTGGGCGAGTCTCAAGGGATTCGATCGGGCAATCGAGAAGCTGAGCAGGTCGTACAAGGGGGAAGTCTGGCGGCTGCTGGACGTGGTGCGGCAATGTATAGTGTTCGAGAGCATCGAGGACATCACGAGATGCTTCCGAGGGATCTGCGAGGACGAGGAGCTCGTGATCCTGCGCGTCAAGAATCGTTTCGATCCCGAGTTTACGTCGCAGCAATCAGGAGCGTACCGTGACCTGTGTCTCAACGTCCGTCTTGACAACGAGGAGACTCGTCGACTGGGTGTGAACTCACACGTGTGCGAGCTTCAATTGTCGCTCAAGGACTACAAGGCCTGGGTCATACACAGCCATGGGCACAGGCGATACGTAGAATATCGCAATACACGAGGAGAGTGACAAGTCCCCCTGACCAATCCAAAGTCAGGAAGGATGTTATGAAAGTCAATATATACATTAGAAGTGAAGCCTACGATACATGATAGTAGATGTCATGAGTAGAACGAGCTGAGACATTTAAAATAGGTTGGGGGACAGCAGTCGGCAGGATTAGGTTTGGTTCTCGCTGTCTTTTCTCTTCTCGCCGTTGGGCCTGTGCGACAGTGTCAGGGTCAAGCCTCCTCGACTCTCCTGATTGTCCTCGTACTGATTTTTAACTTAACTTTGAGTAAACCGCTGGTGAAAACGGAGATGTGAAGAATTTTTCGAGTCCGCCTCAGGTCGTCGGAGATGGGCCCGCTGAAGGTTCGTTGCCAAGAACAGGAGCAGGAGGAGCAGAAACAGGAGCAGCAGGAGCAGAAACAGGAGCAGCAGGAGCAGGAGCAGGAGCAGGAGCAGGAGCAGGAGCAGGAGCAGGAGCAGGAGCAGGAGCAGGAGCAGGAGCAGGAGCAGGAGCAGCAGGAGCAGCAGGAGGAGGCAGAACAGAAGTAGGATGAGCACGGAGCAAGCAGCAATGAATCCAGAAGGCTTAGCGTGGACGCCAAGGCCGGACGATTATTGGCAAGTGAAGGCTCATGATTCGTCGATCAATGCGTTAGAGACGGTGATGGAGGGATCGGGGGAGGTGTCGGTGAGGATGATGATATGTGGAAGTGGCGACGAGAAAATCTCGATTTGGGATGCGAAGAAGCAAAAGAAGATAGAGACGCTGCAGCATGTGCATCAAGGATACATCAGCTCGCTCCTTGTAGTGGATGACATGCTCTTGTCCGGTTCCTTTGATCAGACCATATGTCTTTGGAGCATAGAGCGACGCTCTCTCATAAAGCAGATCAAGGCGCATGCTCACTGCGTCAATCATCTTTTCCTGCATGAGAGCGGCGTCGTGCTCTCTGCCTCTTGGGACAGCTGTGTGCGCGTGTGGGATCTAAGAACGAGACTGCAAGACCATGGCTTCTCGTCGGTGGTGAAACTCCCTGATGCCGCGCTGTGTGTGGTAGGAAAGCAAACTGATGTCTACTGCGGGCTGCATGACTGCAGCATAGCAGCGCTTGACCTGCGCTCGAGCAAGCAGCGCGACACTTTCACGGGACACTCCGGATACGTCACGTCACTGCACCTCGCGAACCTCGAGCTGTTCTCAACTTCCTTCGACGGGTCAGTGAGGGTGACGGATGTGAGGAACGGCAAGGGTAGGGCGGTGCTGGAGACCGGTCTTGCTTCCTTCAACGTCTATCACAGAGTCGACGGGACCAGGAGGTGGGTCACCTCGTCGCATGCTGATGGAGGCATCCGCATTACCAACGTGGTGTCGGGGGAGGTCAAGATGAAGTTCGAGACTGCCGACAAGGAGCAGATTTTCTCCCTCATCGCAAATCACCACGGGATGCTCATTGCAGGAGACGCGCTGGGGAAGATGCATGCGTGGGGGGTGAAGAGAGAGGAGGAGGAGGCTGCCGTGCCGACGATGAAACGGCCTCCTGCATCGTCGGCAAGGATGAAGTTGTGTGCCACCAGGATCCAGAAGGTCTGGAGAGGTCACGGGGGGCGCAGACGTTTCTCGCGTCAGGTGCGGGTCTCTCCTCCTTCCTTTCAGCCAGCTGGGGGAGCTCTGCTGCCCTCGGGACAGGTGACCATCACCTGCTCTACTCCAGGAGCCACCATCCTCTACAGTCAGGTAGCCAAGACCATCTCCTTGTCCGACATGCAGGACTCGCACGTGGTCTCGGGCCCCATTCCAGTGAGCTCCCTGGCGAGCTCCTCTCCGCTCGTCCTCCATGCGAGAGCCTTCGATCCCAGCTCGAGGAAGGGAGCGAGCGCGGTGACGTCGACGTCTTTCGAGTTGAAGGTCAGAACGCCAAGCGTCAAGGAAAAGGTTGCTGGAACCAGCAAGCCCGCACGTGCTGTAGGGGATGCAAAACGAGTAGGCGGAGGTTTCCGTCTGACCGACGTGTCGCGAGAGCTCAGCAAGACTCAGGACAGAAGCAAGGTGAAGGAGCAAGTGGCCGGGGAGAAGAGATGAGGACTCCAGAGCAGGAGCAACGACGAGAACAACACTTGAGACATTCACATGACATACATACAGAATTCTTGCTCAACTTCTTCCTGGAATCTTCCTCTCAAGCTGGGGAATTCCATGGTTTCGCCGGTGACTTTCTGCTCCAAATCGAGACTCCGCCAGGGGATGCTCTCGTCCTCCTGGGATCCTTCCCGACAGCAGGAGACGCACTCGAGGCTGAAGGCGCGTCATGGAACAGGTCGAAGTTGCCTGAGGTTAGCCACGCGATCTGTTCTCTGCACTCCTTTACCTGTGCAAGCATGAGTCAAGCAGAAGGGGAGTGAGTGGCTGTGGGAATGAGAGGGCGAAGGGAGGGAGGACAAGGGAAGGAGGAAGGACCTTGTCCTCGAACACTTTGCTCTCCCCCTTGAGCCAGCCAAGGCCAAGCACACCCACGTGCTGCTGCTCAGGGGTACCCTCAACGTCGTCCCGAACAATCCTTGGGTCCCTGCGCTTGGGCGGCAGACCCTCCAAGGGAGAAGATTGCAAGTGAAGACTTCTATGTACAGGAGGGGCCCGCTTCATCTCCGAGGAGGAGCCTCTCCCCTCCAGTTCGAGTCCCTCATGATCTCCAGTGCTGTACGGTCGTCTCCGTCCTCGCTCTGGATCTTCAGCTGGGCTACCCGCTGGAGACTCCTGTGACAAGAGATAATCAGGGTCACGAGGTCAAATTGGCAGCGTCTCGTCGGAACAAGCAGATGGGAAAAAAGAGAGGAGGGAGGGGGAGGGAGAGGCACTCAGTCACGGCAGGGCTGCCGCAAGGCAGGCAAGCGCTGCCATGAACGGCCAGGAGGAGAGACTAACCATTTCACTCTCGAACTCTGCAAGACAACAAGAGCGAAACCAAGAGGCGACAGAGAGAAAAGACAGCCAGTCATCCGATGCACAGGCAAGACAAAGACGAGCTTACGTGCTGCGCGAGTTGGCTCTGCAGCTTGTGCAGTCGTTCCGTCGTCCGCTTGAGAGAAGCCTGACTGTCCAACTTTTCTTGCACTGCCAACACCCTCAGGTGCTCCTCCCCCCCTTCATCTCAGCTGACTACCTGCTCTCCTCTTCTCGGCCTCAGCAAATCGTTCCCTGCTCATGACGTAAGCACAAGGCGAGTGGGATGAGCCGATCGGAGCGGCAGGCGCACCTTTCTTCCACTGCTTTGAGAGTGTCGTAAAGGATGGAGTTCTGCCTCCTCATCGAGTCGAGCGATTGCTCCAGATGCGACTTCTCCTGCTGCACTATCAGCTTACACCGACAGCCCCGGCACGTTTCCAGCAGTGCCTGTGAGAGGATCTCCATGTTGGTGCGCTGCTTCCGGAGGAACTCCCTGAAGTCAGGGCCTCAGCTTGGGGGGGGGGGAGGCGAGAGGTTGAGGAGATGGACGGACCTGATTCTTAGCTCGTGCTCCTTCACTGAGAGCTCATGCTGGGCACTGTCAGCTGATGGTGCTGACTCACTTGTCCTCACCTCCACGTTCCCGCTCAGGATCCTCCTCGTCAAGGCCTGGAGCCTCACTCTCATCAGCTCAGGCAGCAAGGCGATGCTCTTTTCACCTGCTCTCGGATGAGCTCCGATTCTCTCGTCTGCCCACTGAGCAGTTTGTGCTTCACATCCTCAAGAGTGCTCTCGTAGAATCTCAGATCCTGCGGTCGCGTCAGACCTCGCGGATCCTCTCGTGGTGCCAGCACGCACAGCTTGAGTTGCATTCAGCTGGACTCTGATCTGCTCGTGTCGCGTCTGCTCCTTGGTGAGGTCGTCCAGGGCCTTGCACTGTCATCAGGTCATTTCAAGCGACCGTGAGGCGTCGGAGAACATTGAGACCTTATCAGAGTGCTCGGACTTCACAGTTTGACACAGCAGCTGGGAGCTGAGTTAGCTAAGGCCTTTTCAATCGCACGGGACCTCATTCTCTCGGCAGAGCTCCGCGACCCTTGTTTCGAGCTTTTTCATCGCATCTGTGGTGCTGTCACTTCGACCCTCTGAAAGTTGGGGGTTGCATGCCGAGCTGCATGCCGATGCTTGAATCTTGTTCTTGCTTCCTTTGGGAGGCATCCCGCGTCAACCTCTCCTGTCGACTTCGATGACGACACACAACATGCCGTGACAAGTGCCCACCTGCTTGCTCTTCAACTCCACTCCTGCAAGGGTGCTGAAGATGGTTGTCACTTGGTCATTCATCCCTGAGAGAGACTGGTGGGTGGAGGCCTGCAGCTCTTCCAGCACAGATTCTCTTCCCAAAGAAGCCTCTAGGGCAGCCTCGAGCGAGACGATGACTTCTTCTCGCTTCTTGAACTGATCCATCAGCTTAACAAGCTGCACTTCCGTCAGCAGTCGTCGTCCTCCCTTCGTCCTCCCTCCACCCTCTACCTCAAGTTGGATCGCCTCCACCTCCTTGATGCAGCCAAAGATCTCGACGAACTGACACCTGGAGGCTGCGGGGTCAGCTGTCGCTTGCCATGCAGGTGCCGACCTCGAGAAGACGAACACTGCTGCACACAACACTTCAGCTCTCGTCAACGTTTCAGCACGTGGGAAGAACCTGAATCGACGTCTTTGGAAGGAGCGCTGGCTCCAGCCTTCAGCCGTCTGACGTCGCGATGGGAGCTTGAACGATCGTGGGCCAGCAGACCGAACAGATTGTGCTCGTTCGGCTCCAATGGAATCTCCACCATCTTCTTGATCTGCCCAAACATTGAATCTAGATTGCCTTTGCCCTTATTGATGACGTTGGGGAAGAAATTGATGAGCGGATTTTCCGCAGCGCTCTCCTTCTTGGTCTCTGCCGTCTTTGATCTCATTTCGACTGTTCTGCTTCGATATCCTGCCATGGGTAGACCTTGGCGACCCTGCATCTTGCCGGGGGTCATCGCAGTCTCATCATCTTTGAGATGAATTTCACGAATCATGTGATTCACTTCAGCCAACTCCTTACAGATCTCCTCGAAGTGAGCTCGCAACCAGTGCTGTGGGGCGGTCAACTTGTCGGACAACGGTGTTTCCTGGTTGGACAAGAATGAGTTGTCAAGAGCGCGGCTTTCTGCCCGGGCGCCTTGTTCAACGTTGTGCGTGAACATGCACTTGCAGGCAGATCTCAAAGCAAAGATTTCATCCTCCAAGAATTTGATCCTCGCCTGCAAGATCATGGTCAGTTCAGGTTTTGAAGTCAAGAAATATAGAATAGTGCAGGATCCAGGGGAGAGAATTTCACACACCTTCTCGTCGGATTCCAGCAGGCAATCTGAAACTGTTGAGTCGAGAAGTTCCTGTGCCTCTGTGACATGTAGCAACAATTCTTTTATCCTTGCATCAGAGAAACGAGAAGATATCTCAATAGAGGTTGACTGAGCATCGAACAACTTTTTCTGCATTCTTCTTTGTTGTAGCTGAAAGTCCTCAAGCAAGGTATCAAGACTTTGCGCCGCTTTCTCCGCTTGTGCCTGAGCCTCTTGTAGCTCTGCCCGTGCCCCCTCTGCCTGCCTTCTGGCTTCCTTCGCTTGTGCCTGAGCCTCCTGCAGCTCTGCCCGTGCCCCCTCTGCCTCCTTCTTGGCCCCCTCCGCTTGTACCTGAGCCTCCTGCAGCTCTGCCCGTGCCCCCTCTGCCTCCTTCTTGGCCTCCTCTGCACGGCTTTGTGCTTCTCTCATCGCCCCGTACGCTTCCTGCAGCTTGCTGGCCTCTCCTTGCTTCTCATCAAGCATCTTCTCAAGCTCCTTGACTTGGTCCTGGAGCAAGCCGCTCTCGTGACGCAGCAGCTCAAACTCCTTCAGGCTCTCCTCGTGCTGGAGCGCTGTCTCCCGGAGCCTGTCTCGCTCGTCCACGAGATCACGGAGACATAGCTCACTCTCACCTAAAGCTCCTTTGGCCTCTTCTAGTACCTCCATGAGCTCTCGCATCCTTTCGGCTTGTACAGCATGCTCCACATCCTTCTCGATCTCAAGCTCCTTGATCTTGCTCTCAAGTGCCTGAGCCTGCTCGATCAATGCTGTCCTAGCAGCCGACAAGGCCTCTGCCTCCTTCTTGGCCTCCTCTGCACGGCTTTGTGCTTCTCTCATCGCCCCGTACGCTTCCTGCAGCTTGCTGGCCTCTCCTTGCTTCTCATCAAGCATCTTCTCAAGCTCCTTGACTTGGTCCTGGAGCAAGCCGCTCTCGTGACCCAGCAGCTCAAACTCCTTCAGGCTCTCCTCGTGCTGGAGCGCTGTCTCCCGGAGCCTGTCTCGCTCGTCCACGACCTTTCTAAGTTCCACATCCTTCTCGATCTCAAGCTCCTTGATCTTGCTCTCAAGTGCCTGAGCCTGCTCGATCAATGCTGTCCTAGCAGCCGACAAGGCCTCTGCCTCCTTCTTGGCCCCCTCCGCTTGTACCTGAGCCTCCTGTAGCTCTGCCCGTGCCCCCTCTGCCTCCTTCTTGGCCTCCTCTGCACGGCTTTGTGCTTCTCTCATCGCCCCGTACGCTTCCTGCAGCTTGCTGGCCTCTCCTTGCTTCTCATCAAGCATCTTCTCAAGCTCCTTGACTTGGTCCTGGAGCAAGCCGCTCTCGTGACGCAGCAGCTCAAACTCCTTCAGGCTCTCCTCGTGCTGGAGCGCTGTCTCCCGGAGCCTGTCTCGCTCGTCCACGACCTTTCTAAGTTCCACATCCTTCTCGATCTCAAGCTCCTTGATCTTGCTCTCAAGTGCCTGAGCCTGCTCGATCAATGCTGTCCTAGCAGCCGACAAGGCCTCTGCCTCCTTCTTGGCCCCCTCCGCTTGTGCCTGAGCCTCCTGCAGCTCTGCCCGTGCCCCCTCTGCCTCCTTCTTGGCTCCCTCCGCTTGTGCCTGAGCCTCCTGCAGCTCTGCCCGTGCCCCCTCTGCCTCCTTCTTGGCCTCCTCTGCACGGCTTTGTGCTTCTCTCATCGCCCCGTACGCTTCCTGCAGCTTGCTGGCCTCTCCTTGCTTCTCATCAAGCATCTTCTCAAGCTCCTTGACTTGGTCCTGGAGCAAGCCGCTCTCGTGACGCAGCAGCTCAAACTCCTTCAGGCTCTCCTCGTGCTGGAGCGCTGCCTCCCGGAGCCTGTCTCGCTCGTCCATGAGCTCGCGGAAACATAGCTCGTTTTGGTTAAGATCCGCAAACGCATCATTGCAGTGAGATATAATGGACTTGAATTGTTCCATGATAGTTGCACTGAGAAAGTATTGCTGAGGGCGCTTTGTGGAATCACAGCTTGTGACAAGATCTCGATTGTTTGAATTCAGAAAATCGATGTGGAACTTTGCATCTTCAGTGCCTTCAGCAACATGGTCCAACGGCCTTTTCAATACATGGATACAATTTTCAATCTGTCCAATATTCTTGTGAATGTCTCCAATCTGCTCATCAACTTCTGCGCATTTAGTCGCAAAGTCAAGGTGACAAGTGCCCATCTCCAGAATGCGCAAATTTCGAAGCGAGTTTTCTTCTGCTAACACGTCAATGCATCTTGATATTTCACAAACTTGCTTCAGTATCATATAAATTTGAGCCTTCATCTCATCCTTAAGTTGCCTCATGATCATGCCTATATCCTGCTGTAAACAAGAAACTTATCAAAAAAAAGGAACAAAGGAATAGAACCAGAACAAATCTTCACCTGTGACAAACATTCCTTAGGTTCCTTAGAATAGCATTCCCTTAATTCGCTATATTCCGCTTTGAAGTCGTTTGCGTCTGGCCAACATTGCAGACCCGATTTGTTGGGTAGGATGGCACAAGACCGTATATCATCAATGTCTGACTCCAACCCTTCAATGGCACATAGAAATTGTTTTGTCATTGAAGAATTGAACTGCTTGCAGTCCAGAATAATTCTTGCAATATTTGCTGAGTCAGTAAGGCACTTGTATGGTTCAATTCGACCACTCAAAAGCTTCTCTGCGGCACCAGATGTGAAAAACGTGTCGTGACTGAAAATGAAGGACAGGTCTTCTTGACAGCTTCGAATTAAAAACAGAAAGTTTTCCACTGCCCCGTTCCAAGAAGCGTGTTTAGATAGCATTGCACTATCAGTCTGGTAAACAATCTCATGCACCTTGGCCAATTCTGCATCGATCTGAGCAATGAGCTGGGAAAGTAGGTCTTCCTGAGTCACAATATGTTGAAGACGTCTTTCCAAAGAGTCCTTAGAAAGCTTCAGCGATTCATAATCTCTCAACTTGATACGCAGCTCTTCGAGTTCTGTCGCATCAGATCCACGCTCCACGGTGTTAAGATCAGATTTCAAGCTCCTCTGAAGGAGTTCGCTTTGCATCCTGTGAATTGCTGTATTTGCAACTTCCTGGGCCCTCCTCAGATTTTCGATCTCCCTCTTTGCAATTTCTAAATCCTCGATAGCATGGCAGGCCTCTTGGTCTCGTTCTACCATCGATTGAACTTCATTTTGTAATTCTAAAATCCGTTTCTGAAGGTCTTCTCCAGGTCTGGACTCCAACGCCTTCAACTGCTTCTTGATTAAAGTGGTCTCTTGATGCTTCTGATCAATGTGACGCTGCATTTCTTCCAATCTCCTTTCGAGGTCAGCATTTCTTTCCATGTTCTGTGATAGTTTTGAATTCAAATCATCAATCAGCGCGTTTTTTTCCATCAAAAGAGCTTCGTTTGATTGTTCCAAGAATATTGACCTATGGTCTCCTAAATTTTGAAGCATATGAGCTTGGACATTTGAGATTTCAAGAGTCGGCTGTATATCAAGCGTGCCTTGAACTTGCGAAACTACACGATCGTAGTTGGCCTAAACGAAGGTCATAAATAGGGAAAGGTTACGACAGAATTCTCGCCTGAGCTTTAGCAAGCTGCGCCTCAGTCTCCTTCTGCTTAGTATTCGCCGCATCGAGAAGCTGTCATACAAGCACAATCAGCAAGGATCATGGCCTTCGGAATTCAGATACCTCAACATCGAATGCAATCTGTCGTTTCAGCCCATCCACCATCGCGCGAAGGCTTTGGATCATGATCGTTTTTTCATCTTCGCCATCCGCCTATCCGTGTGGAAACAGGTGATGAGGCAAGCACGAGATCAAAAGACCAGAACCTCGCCCATCATCGCATCGACACGCATTCCCTCTTCCCGCACGATGCTGTACTGCGTGCGAGATGTCCTCAAGGACTGATTCATGTCAAGGACAACAGAAACATTTCCACGAATTACCGTCGACGGATAAGACGTAAAAACTACACCATCTGCAACATAAGGAACGGCATCGTGTGCTGCAGGAGCTTCCATTCGATCCTACAGAGATAGGTGAGCCCATAGAGCTTCAACTGCAGGTTGCCCCTACCTCAGGCTCCGGAATCGAATTCGTTTCTCGAGCGACCTGACATTGACTTCAGCGGGGAATCATGAACAATATCACAGCCACCTGCAGCTGGGCATGCTTTCCTCGCCCAGACACGTCACTCAGACTAGTCGACCCTGTGCAAACAATGAAAACCCTACAGGATACAGTAATGCACAACCTTGACTGTGCGTCACGTGAGAGATTGCATTACTTTGATCTTCTGAGAGTTCAAGCCTGCCCTACGTAAATCACAGAGATTGGAAACTATCAATAAAGGCACCGTTTGGGACTTTCTTCTAGTACAGCTTTCGGTTCAGGTTCTCGTACGGAGGGAACGACATTGATAGATTCTGCATCAAATTCTGTGAGGCTAACACATCACCATCCATGGCAGCAGAGAGTCAACCTGTTGATGCCGGCAATACTTTTGGTTGACGGGAGGGGATTTGAGCTGACACCCTCATCGATCCATTGATACTGGACCTTGGAGCATCGAATGGAGAGGGAAGGGGCTTAGACTTGTGATCCTCATTCGGGCCGTTCGACTTGGCTTGTCTGAATTTTTCCAGCCTCTTTCTTCCCGCTTCGATCTTTCGGATTCTATCCTCCTCGGCACCCATTTCCAAGTCACACGGCTTGTGGTTCAATCAGGAATAACCCGGATATACATCAACTGCATAAAAGAATCACATCAGTAGTGTGTTGTAATGTCAGCGAGCCGTCAGAGCATTTAAATAGGGATTTGAGCTTGCAACATCAAGAGGAGATTTCGTAGCAGCCAAAGAAATCAAGATAAATCAGTAGTAATGGTAGAAGTTTCAGAATAAAGGAAAATCCACCACCAGAGCGGAGAGGTGGTAGTTGGTCACAAATTTGAAAGCATAAAAATGAAATCAAGATGGATGAGTTATTGGGAAACACAGTATCATGCGAGGAAAAGGCATGCGGTACCATATCAGGAGCGGCAGAGGATGAGGTAGAACATTAAGAGTCGTCATGTCATCTCACCTCACTCCTTCATGGCTCCACTTGCTGCCACGACATGCTGGGCTTGGTGGGATTCGAATCAGAAAAACAAAAACAATTCCATGCGGGGTCACCAAAATTCAGATATATATTTCAGATATCCTAAATTTTATCTCCTAATTACAAGATTGAGTATTCATGTTCACAACATTAAATCCAAAATTCAAAAAATATCACAAAGGATGACACCCGAAGGGTCAGGGCTCCAAATTCGTGTAGTCCCAGTAACGGTTCAACGGATGAGGCGGCCATCATTGATCCTCATCCTACCGCCGTCACTGCCCCCGCCGCCGCGCCGCATATCCGGGACTCAGGTGTCGTCGGACTCCCGGATCTTTCCGTCACCTGCCGGATCCGGGCCTCCGAAGTTTACTCAAAGTGAAGATAAAACCAGTACGAGGACAATCGGGAGAGTCGACTCCGCGAGGAGGCTGCCAAACGGGCGAGCCTTGAAGAGCAAAGACACCGGAGAACCAAACCTAATCCTGCCAACTGCTTTCATGAGTGGGGCCGCAAAGGGGGGCCGCCCCCCCCCCCCCCCCCCCCCCGCACTCCGGATCCGAGGCTCCGCCGCGGGCCGCGCCGCCCTGCGGCCCGACCTCACTGTTCGCCAAGGGCCCGGCCCGGGGAAGGGCCTGGACTCCGGGAAGCATGTACTTTTTTTCGCTGCCTTCTCCTTTTCCTAGTATTTTGTTGAGGCGGGTTTGTTGGATTTATCCTCGACGTACTTGTTTCGCGAAAATGGTACGGAACATGCTGCTCGTTGGGTTCAAGGAAGCTGTTGTGGACTCAAGATACGCTGAGCAGGGCCAGGGATACAATGCAACGATCACCACATGATGAGGCGAATACAAGTAGGTCAAAGCATGCTCGGAAAGGAGCACCCGTCTAAAGAAACTTCATGGAAGTGCGGGACAGAATTCACGATTTTTCCATGGCAGAGAACGAAGAATGCAAGAAAAACGTCTTGTATTTGGCAATCAGTTGCAGCTTTTTCGTTGCTCACACAATGCATATGCATGAACGATGTAAAACTGCCTCCCCAACTTGAGATGACTGCACAGTCGGATCAATTGGAAAAAATTCCCGACTCTTGCCTCACTGACCATGAGATGGCTGTGATTGAGATACTTCATCCTCGGCATGGCTCCAAAATAGAGAGTGATGAGGTATTCATATAATCTACCGTTTGTGGTAGTGACATAGTGATTTCATCTAATGGTAGGTTAACGCACACATTCTTGTGAAGAACTATGAAATGGGACTTGACGCAGGATGTGCAGCGATTTTTTTGAATACACATTATAGATACAAGAGCTGTGCAGCAGAAATAAAGGTGACTTTTCTCCTTGGCAGTCTCTTGATCTGACTCTGGATACTTGCGAAAGGTTACATTGAGTAGCATTAGACCTGGCATGTCAGTAATTGACATCTCGCTGCTGGACTCGAATGATCGAGAGGTAGGAATCATGTCGAGCACTACGTTCATTTCACAGCTCAACCATGCACCTTGGTATAACTCCTCGAGGTCCTATGGCAAAGATATCTTACATTGGAACAAGGTCTGATTGGAAAATTTTATCGGATTGGAGCCGGAGTCCAAGTCTTTCAATGCCGTGTATCAGAACGCCCGACCTTACAAACTCCTTGTGAGCTATGGAACCGAGGCTTTCCAAGATTCTTTGAAGACATTGGCAGCAACTGCAATCTCAATTGGTGGTGTTGATGGCGTAAAAATGGTAATGTCTATCATTGGATCTCCGTAAGCAATGACAACTTCACCTTCAGTTTGGACCTCAGCATCTCAACCAAGACTTCACATCTGCAAATTCCAGGATTTTCAACCAGAGAAAAGGGGCGGGGCTATGGCTGTGGAAGCCATACCTTATCAATCAATCTTTGCACACACTGTCAGAGGGAGATCTCTTGATGTACGCAGATGCCCAGCTTACCTTCGTGTCAAGGTATTCACGATTTTCTTCGACTTTGCCAGGGAAGCTCACTTTCTTGAATTAGTGCAACGCCGCTTTTTGACATTGCCGAGGCGGAGGTGTTGCAAATTCATGAGTGACATCCCATAATATATCACTGTTGCAGGAGTTGGGTATTGTTTCATTTGGCATGGCTCAACACAAGGAGTACGTGTACACCAAGGAGGAGGTCTTGATGGGACTCTCGGCTTCGTTTCTATGTCCTTACGGTCGGCTAGGTTTTATTCGCTTTGAATTGTACGGAGGAATGCAGATTTTCGGGACAACGGTATTTGATTAGAAAAAGCTGACGCGACACCTCAACAGTTGAGTAGGGCTGCTACTTTCATCGTTTTCCGCGTGTGCGAAAGTTCAAAGGAATTTGTGCGTCAATGGCTAACTCTGTCTCAGAATTACAGGTAGAATCTTTGATTGCAAGCTGGTTGTTGACTACACAACTCAGCTTGATATCTGACGAAGAAAACGGGGCCCAACAACATGAAGAAGTAAGTTTTTTGTTGTCAAGTGACTCCGAGCAACGCTTACAAGATTCTGCCAGTTTATATCTCATAGACATGACCAGTCAATTTTTTCGGTCCTATATCGCGATGTTTTCTTGAACTACCTATGATCGAAGCATCGGAACAGGTGCTCTGCAAACACTGGGGAGTGCCTGCATACAGGTAAGTTGCCTATATTTTAGGGAGTGATCGCTGACTTTTTGCTCGGAGGGTTCCAACGCAGTACGGGGAGAACGCACTCGAAAAGAATAGCATGCATGGCAAGTATCCTCAGATTTTTCAGGCAAAGTGAAGTTGAGTGTGTCGAGGCCTCTTCGGCCAGCGGAGAAGTTTCATATGAAACGAGTAAACTACAGCATGATTGGACAAAAATACATTCCTACCGGTCCGAGAACCTCTCTGGTGGCATACCCTTCCTTGCAAACTGCTCAGATCAATATCTCACGGCAGAAGACCTCGATATTCAGTTTTTTGAGGCTATTGTCTGTGGAAAGCAGTTGATCCAACTAGCTGGACCGTACTGAGATTCCGGGGTCGGAACTTGGCAGCGGTGTCGCCGATTTCGAAGAGATAGAGGTACAATTCTCTCAAGACTATCGCAAATTCAGTGTCCATGCAGCGGGGATAAATGAGATAAGATGAGTTTTGTTTTTGTTCAACAGCTCGATAGGACAACCTGGTGTCATATACGTACAAATAAAGCAAGGTTCGCTCTCCAATCCCTGTGATGTAATGAACCAATCCTTGCCTCCTTTCCCCTTCTCCCCACCCACTTGTTAGTGTTTTGTCCATCCCCCTCAGCCACGCTCTTCATTCCTCCCATTTCTTGATCCTCTACATCTCCCATACGTGCTCTGTTTTGGCTTTTTACCCGGCTTCCCTCTCACTCCTTCCACGATCTTGCTGGAGAACTTTCTCCTTCTCCACACATCTTATCCCTCATGTCTGCCTCCATGCCCTGGTGGCTATTTCTCCCCCTCTCCCCTGCTGCCTACTCTGTGCGATGCTCTCTATAGCCGATTCTCGTCTAGTACGGATCTTGGCGCACCAGATGACCCACGAGTTTTCCTTGCAGCGGCAAAGAGGGGTGGGGTGAAAGAAGATGTTTGTCTTTGCTACAGGGGATGAGGGCTCACTATACTGGCTATTTTGGGCCAGTGGTCATCCGACTATGTAACAAATATTTGAGTATGAATGTGATCATCTTCGATAGTGATTTTTAACTCAAATAATTTTTTTTCTACGAAGAAGATTGGGTATTGGTGGGTCATAGAGTAATTTTGTGGGATTCGAACGCCAGTCCTGCTAAAAGTTGGCGAGGAAGGAGCAAGAGGATTATGCGCGGCAGGGTGCATGGCGGATGCAGGCAAGGGTACAAGGAGAAGGAAGAAACATGAGGGAGCTCTCTGAGACGTTTCTTCTTGCTCACACGGTTGGGACACGTCGAGACTGATTCCTTCCAGCGCCCAGGCTCTCCCTGGAACAGATGGAGGTGAACTCTGCAAGGTCAATTCCTGTACCCGCGAGGGAGGGAAGGTTGGTTGGGGTGTGGTGTCCGCCTCTGATGTAACGTTCCTTGTTCTTTGATGCAGATACGAATATGTTGACCGGAATCCTTTGTCTCCAATATCCCATGATAGTGCAAATACTTCCACCCGCGAGATCTCCCCAGTATATTCCGCGCCGTCACATTCCGACTCGTCTTCCAGAGGCGTTCCTGGAAGTGCCAGATGGCTAAAGGAGCGCAGCAATGCCTTGGAAGCAGAGAGGTCAACTATCTTTCACACAGGGCTACTCCATCTCTGACGTCTTGCAGACTCGATTTAGTTCAGCACACGTTAGAGCTACAGTCGCACCTCGAAGTCCTCAAGGAAAAGGCGGCAACTGCCAAGAACATCGCTCAATCATCACGTTTTGCGCTTGGTGAAATTGCTTTCCGATTCTTCTGATCGGTATTTATGACTTTAGATGCAGCGCCTGATGGGAGTGCAGCTTCGTCCAATTGGGCGAACGAGACTGAAACCATCATTGACGAAAAGAAGGAGTTGGTTAGCAGACTTATCATCTACTCCCAACAAGCTTTCTTTATGTCACAGGTCAAGTTGCTAGGCATCGAAATTGATTGCTGACATATCGTTCCATCAGGGTAAGGTCTCAGAAAAGAAACATGTTGCGAATCTAGATTTGTTCAAACTCTCCAGCCTACACGCACAATTCAAGAGGAAAATACGAATGACTATCGTTGAACTGCAAGAAGAGCAAGAACAGATAGAACAACAGAGTGGCAAATTCTATCAGGTGATAGATCTGCCTGCAATTTCAGCTGATGATACCTAAATAACTTTGCAGTTACAAGATCTTATACAGAGCAGATCTTTATCCAGTACAGCGAGGCTCAGTTTGGATAGCCATGCTAGCATGATGTTTCTCTTGATCCAGGAAATCATGACAACGATGAACAGTATTCATGGGCTGATTTCCACCGTCATTCAATTTTTGCAGCACTGCTATCAACACAGGGAATTGAAAAGTCGTTGGAGGCTGGCTCTAGCGGCTCAAGTAGATGCTTTTCTGAAGAAACGGTACCTCAAGACAAGTATGTTGAAATGGAAACAGTTGTTGGATTTCTCGAAGGGTCTAGAAGAGATGTCATTGTCCTTACAAAGAAGTTCAAACGTCCGATCTCATGCAAGTTTTTTTGTGAAATGGAAGAAATGCTGCAAGACGATGTCTAAATTAGGAGAGCGGCTTTGCAATCTAGTCAAGTCGTGGGACCAGCAGGCAATCTTTGCTAATGAAGCCTGCAGAACCATTTCTGGTAAGAAATTCGTTGCAATTCTGGCACGGAAGGCTGCACCAAAAACCCAAGCACTGGCGACTCCTGAAGCCAGAAGGGTGAGGCGCACGGATGAATTGGATACCAGAATTCAGTGCATCCTACTTGCAATGCCCTGGGCATATTGGATTTGTTTCCTTCGAATGATCAAGAAGCTGCAGAATTTCCATTCTAAATGTAGATTTGTTTTCCTGTCAAATGTTGTTACACAATGGAGACATCTAAGTCTTTACAAGAACGGGATCCAAAGTGCAGCTTCATTGGGCTCCAAGAAAATTGCAAATATTTCTGTTCGCTTTTCTTTCAATATTTGGCAGGTGGCTTTGCAAAGATTGCATTCCTTGAATATCAAGGCAAGGCATATCCAACGTAAAAATGAGAAATTGTCGCTATGTCGTACTTGGGATCTATGGTACCGTATGCAGTCGAGTCGTGCCCGCATATCAACGATTCAGATGAAATTGACAAAGAGAACTGTGATTCTGACATATGCTGCTGTTCTGTATAGTTGGAGTGATTACAAATTTTCTGCTGGTTTCTTGAAATGCTTCAAGAACAAGAAAAGGTTGCAACATTTGCGTTTGAGATTTTGGTTCCTCAGACAACATTCGATGAAACATTCTGTGTCTGTTTCAAAATGTCTTATCTTGCAAGCAAAGGTGCGTTCAAGATATCTGGTCAATGCTTTCTTTACACTTGTTGAACTACACCGAAATGGATGTCAAAAGAAATATTTCGAAACAAAACTCCTAAAACTTAAGACCACTACCTTCCTGCGACAGGTCTTTTTCAATTGGTCAATAGCAAATCCGTGTCCGGCTGCAATCCAGCACAGGATGAACAAGATCAATAGAAAATTAGAGTCTAGAAGGTTGAGTCAATCAATTGAAATGATGAGAACAATGTGCCTCCGTCAGAAGTCCATTCGAAAAAAAGAAAACTTATTTTACAGTCGATCTGTTCTGAGATATATTGCTGGCTCATTCAATCAATGGCTGTTTGTCCTGGAGGCTATGAGAAGACTGAACAAATTGATTGTTCACATTAGAAACAGGTGGCAGAAGGGATTTCTTTCACAATACTTGAGAGCCTGGCAAAGTCGCGCCAATGAAAGTACCAAGTCAGATGGAAAGAAATGGAGAGCAAGTTTATTTCACCATCAAAGACTTTCGCAAAAAGTTATGAGTGATTGGTTGCAGAATGTGTTCAAACAAAGAAGAGAAACGAGATTTTCCACTCTCAGGGGCAAGCGATGCTTGAAGGCAGTATGGTGCATTTGGACGACATGCAACAAGCAAAAACGATGGGCATACACACAAATTCTGAACAGAAATCATCGTGACATGAAATATCTGATCTGCAATATCTGGACAGAGTGGCTGAATTCTGTTGAACAAACAAAATTGAAGACAAGACGTGTTTATCAACAAGCAGTGCAAGTAGAGAGGCGCTCGCTACAATTCCTGATGCAAACCTGGAGAGGTAGAATCGAATGCAAAAAATGCAATCAAGATGTGTTCTACATGATGAAACCAAAGGCAGAAAGAATCTTGCAAGAAAACTGATAGCTCTGTGGAATGAATACACAGAAACAATGAGGAAAAATCGAAGAATAATTGTCAGAGTGATTCAAAAAATGAAACGTCAGGAGACAAGTCTAGCATTTGCAACTTTAACGCAAAACAGCATCATTTCAAAACAATTACGATTGCAAGAAAAACCGTTCTACGAAAGTGGGTGCACAAGGAGACAGCAGCGGGCTTTGCCGGGTGGAGAGAGCGGACCGAGGAGACGAAGCGGCTGCGGCGGGGAGGGAGAAAGGCGATACAGCGATGGAGTAACCTGAGACTCGGGGAGGCCTTCACGGCGCTCAAGGAGCGGACCATCGAGCTACACGACATGCGGACGAGCGGGGAGAAGATAGTCCGGCGGTGGCGGCAGCTGGACCAGGGTCGAGGGCTGGCGGGCTGGCGGGAGCACGCAACGAGACAGCGGAGGCTACGGGAGGTGACGGAGAAGATCATACGGCGATGGCAGCAGGCAGGGGCATGGGCGGCGCTGGCGCGGTGGATCGAGCACGCGAGGGAGTCAGAGCGGCTGCGGCGAGTAGGGCAGGCAGTGATCGGACGGTGGCAGCATCTCAAGGTCGGGGAGGCCTTCACGGCGCTCAAGGAGCGGACCATCGAGCTACACGACATGCGGACGAGCGGGGAGAAGATAGTCCGGCGGTGGCGGCAGCTGGACCAGGGTCGAGGGCTGGCGGGCTGGCGGGAGCACGCAACGAGACAGCGGAGGCTACGGGAGGTGTCGGAGAAGATCATACGGCGATGGCAGCAGGCAGGGGCATGGGCGGCGCTGGCATGGTGGATGTCGTGGGTAGAGGGTCAGAAGCGACATACGCGGCTCCAAGCGTCGATCGTGTGCCGTATGCAGCGTCTAGGAGCATGGGAGTCTTTCTCGACGTGGCTGGGGAAGACGTCAGAGACCAGGGAGAGGGTTGAGTCGTGTGTGGATAAGGAGAGACAGTGGCGGGCTGTGAGCCGAGCTGTGGACGGGAGGGAGCGGAGGCTTGGGCAGCGGGCGCTGGTACACTGGCACGAGCGGACACGGGCGATGATCAGCTTGGGAGGGAAGCTAGGGAAGGCGATGGGGCGCTGGCGCGAAGGGGTGGCTTGGAAGGCTATGAGCCAGTGGAGGCATTGCGCAAAGAAGGAGAGCGCTGAGAGAGGACGGAAGCAGCGGGTAGTAGGGAAGCTTCGGTACGGGAGGGCGGGACGAGCCTTGGCGCGGTGGGAGGCATACACAAGGGAGTCGAGGAGGCTCAAGGCGATGGGAGCCAAGGTCGTGCTACAGTGGGTGCACAAGGAGACAGCAGCGGGCTTTGCCGGGTGGAGAGAGCGGACCGAGGAGACGAAGCGGCTGCGGCGGGGAGGGAGAAAGGCGATACAGCGATGGAGTAACCTGAGACTCGGGGAGGCCTTCACGGCGCTCAAGGAGCGGACCATCGAGCTACACGACATGCGGACGAGCGGGGAGAAGATAGTCCGGCGGTGGCGGCAGCTGGACCAGGGTCGAGGGCTGGCGGGCTGGCGGGAGCACGCAACGAGACAGCGGAGGCTACGGGAGGTGTCGGAGAAGATCATACGGCGATGGCAGCAGGCAGGGGCATGGGCGGCGCTGGCGCGGTGGATCGAGCACGCAAGGGAGTCAGAGCGGCTGCGGCGAGTAGGGCAGGCAGTGATCGGACGGTGGCAGCATCTCAAGGTCGGGGAGGCCTTCACGGCGCTCAAGGAGCGGACCATCGAGCTACACGACATGCGGACGAGCGGGGAGAAGATAGTCCGGCGGTGGCGGCAGCTGTCACGTCACGGGGCCTGCGCTGGCGGGCTGGCGGGAGCACGCAACGAGACAGCGGAGGCTACGGGAGGTGTCGGAGAAGATCATACGGCGATGGCAGCAGGCAGGGGCATGGGCGGCGCTGGCGCGGTGGATCGAGCACGCAAGGGAGTCAGAGCGGCTGCGGCGAGTAGGGCAGGCAGTGATCGGACGGTGGCAGCATCTCAAGGTCGGGGAGGCCTTCACGGCGCTCAAGGAGCGGACCATCGAGCTACACGACATGCGGACGAGCGGGGAGAAGATAGTCCGGCGGTGGCGGCAGCTGGACCAGGGTCGAGGGCTGGCGGGCTGGCGGGAGCACGCAACGAGACAGCGGAGGCTACGGGAGGTGTCGGAGAAGATCATACGGCGATGGCAGCAGGCAGGGGCATGGGCGGCGCTGGCGCGGTGGATGTCGTGGGTAGAGGGTCAGAAGCGACATACGCGGCTCCAAGCGTCGATCGTGTGCCGTATGCAGCGTCTAGGAGCATGGGAGTCTTTCTCGACGTGGCTGGGGAAGACGTCAGAGACCAGGGAGAGGGTTGAGTCGTGTGTGGATAAGGAGAGACAGTGGCGGGCTGTGAGCCGAGCTGTGGACGGGAGGGAGCGGAGGCTTGGGCAGCGGGCGCTGGTACACTGGCACGAGCGGACACGGGCGATGATCAGCTTGGGAGGGAAGCTAGGGAAGGCGATGGGGCGCTGGCGCGAAGGGGTGGCTTGGAAGGCTATGAGCCAGTGGAGGCATTGCGCAAAGAAGGAGAGCGCTGAGAGAGGACGGAAGCAGCGGGTAGTAGGGAAGCTTCGGTACGGGAGGGCGGGACGAGCCTTGGCGCGGTGGGAGGCATACACAAGGGAGTCGAGGAGGCTCAAGGCGATGGGAGCCAAGGTCGTGCTACAGTGGGTGCACAAGGAGACAGCAGCGGGCTTTGCCGGGTGGAGAGAGCGGACCGAGGAGACGAAGCGGCTGCGGCGGGGCGGGAGAAAGGCGATACAGCGATGGAGTAACCTGAGACTCGGGGAGGCCTTCACGGCGCTCAAGGAGCGGACCATCGAGCTACACGACATGCGGACGAGCGGGGAGAAGATAGTCCGGCGGTGGCGGCAGCTGGACCAGGGTCGAGGGCTGGCGGGCTGGCGGGAGCACCCAACGAGACAGCGGAGGCTACGGGAGGTGTCGGAGAAGATCATACGGCGATGGCAGCAGGCAGGGGCATGGGCGGCGCTGGCACGGTGGATGTCGTGGGTAGAGGGTCAGAAGCGACATACGCGGCTCCAAGCGTCGATCGTGTGCCGTATGCAGCGTCTAGGAGCATGGGAGTCTTTCTCGACGTGGCTGGGGAAGACGTCAGAGACCAGGGAGAGGGTTGAGTCGTGTGTGGATAAGGAGAGACAGTGGCGGGCTGTGAGCCGAGCTGTGGACGGGAGGGAGCGGAGGCTTGGGCAGCGGGCGCTGGTACACTGGCACGAGCGGACACGGGCGATGATCAGCTTGGGAGGGAAGCTAGGGAAGGCGATGGGGCGCTGGCGCGAAGGGGTGGCTTGGAAGGCTATGAGCCAGTGGAGGCATTGCGCAAAGAAGGAGAGCGCTGAGAGAGGACGGAAGCAGCGGGTAGTAGGGAAGCTTCGGTACGGGAGGGCGGGACGAGCCTTGGCGCGGTGGGAGGCATACACAAGGGAGTCGAGGAGGCTCAAGGCGATGGGAGCCAAGGTCGTGCTACAGTGGGTGCACAAGGAGACAGCAGCGGGCTTTGCCGGGTGGAGAGAGCGGACCGAGGAGACGAAGCGGCTGCGGCGGGGAGGGAGAAAGGCGATACAGCGATGGAGTAACCTGAGACTCGGGGAGGCCTTCACGGCGCTCAAGGAGCGGACCATCGAGCTACACGACATGCGGACGAGCGGGGAGAAGATAGTCCGGCGGTGGCGGCAGCTGGACCAGGGTCGAGGGCTGGCGGGCTGGCGGGAGCACGCAACGAGGCAGCGGAGGCTACGGGAGGTGTCGGAGAAGATCATACGGCGATGGCAGCAGGCAGGGGCATGGGCGGCGCTGGCGCGGTGGATCGAGCACGCGAGGGAGTCAGAGCGGCTGCGGCGAGTAGGGCAGGCAGTGATCGGACGGTGGCAGCATCTCAAGGTCGGGGAGGCCTTCACGGCGCTCAAGGAGCGGACCATCGAGCTACACGACATGCGGACGAGCGGGGAGAAGATAGTCCGGCGGTGGCGGCAGCTGGACCAGGGTCGAGGGCTGGCGGGCTGGCGGGAGCACGCAACGAGACAGCGGAGGCTACGGGGGGTGTCGGAGAAGATCATACGGCGATGGATGTACTTAGATCTTTCTGGTTGGTTCGCTCTTTTTTCCGAATCGTTTTTTTGGCACAAACGCTTTCTGCTTGTCTTGGTCAGACGAGCTATCGTTCAATGCTTTTCTTCAATGAGGAGCTCGTTTGTTCGCTGGACTTATTTTGTTTCCTCGTATCGGTCATCCCGTCTTTCAGTTTGCAAGAAGGCGCATGAGCGGGAGCGTCAATTGTTGTTGCTGTCGTATGGCGGTTGGCAGTCCTTGTGGTCCAGGAGCAAGGCGCACGCGGCCATCGGGGTCAAAGTCGTCAGCAGATGGATGAAGCTCGGACTAGTGAGGAGCTTTGAGGGATGGCAATGTCATGCGGAGCGTTTGCAGGAGCTGCGGAGGAGAGGAAGGAAGGTCGTTCTCCGTTGGTTGAACGATCTCATTTTACTTGCCTGGGAATCGTGGGTAATCTTTCGCAACGATGCCAAAAGTTTTGTTTCATCTCTGTCAAAGGTAAACAGGACTTTTCAGAGGAACCTGTTGAGGACATGCTATCATCAACTTCATCTGCACACATGCACCATGAAGCTCGTCAGTTCTGCCATGAGCAAGCTCACTGGACGTGCATCTACCTCCACGTTACGGAGGATGTTCGGCTTATGGGTATGGAAGTACCGGTCGGAGGAATTCTACGGCCTGCAGGGGGCGAAAGTGTTTCTTCGCTGGAGCAGCTTCAGCACGAGATCGTATTTCAAGCTGTGGATGCTTTACCTCGGCTCCCGCAGGGCCGGACGAAAGAAAGTCATCCGTGCACTGCGATCTTGGAACCTCATGCTCTGCGCTTCTGCGTGGCGAAGTTGGCAGTCCTTGTGGTCCAGGAGCAAGGCGCACGCGGCCATCGGGGTCAAAGTCGTCAGCAGATGGATGAAGCTCGGACTAGTGAGGAGCTTTGAGGGATGGCAATGTCATGCGGAGCGTTTGCAGGAGCTGCGGAGGAGAGGAAGGAAGGTCGTTCTCCGTTGGAAGCTGTTGGATCTCAGCATGGGAATGGCGGGATGGTGCAATGCAGTGAAGAGGAGGAGGAGAAAGCAAGAATCAAGGATGTTGGACTACAGGAGATCTCTCAAGAACAATGTGTTACATTGGAAGATGGCGGTGGGAGCCAAAGACGAGGCCTCGTTCATGACCAAGATGGGAACAGCATTCCTAGGACGGCTGGACAGGTTCCTTGCGGTCAGATACGTCCACTCCTGGCGGGTCTTCGTACTTCACTCTCGCCGGGTGGAGTGCATCGAGAAGATGCTCAACGTTTCGTTTCGCAGGATTGAATGGCACTGGGACCGTGAGACCGTCAAGAACTCTCTGCTGCTCTGGCAATCTCTGGTCATCTTAGCAAAAACCTTGAGGAGCAAGACCCTCCACAATGCTCTCATGGGCTGGAGAGTTTTTACCTGGCAGCGTAGGCGGCTGCAGAGTTTAGACGCAAGAACAAAATTGACAAGGCAGATGCTGGCGTTCTGCTTTGACTTCCTCATCATCAACTGCTTGTTCAAGAAGTCTTTGTTCCGGAGCTTAGGCGTCAGAGTCCTGCAACGCAGAGCCGCCAATGCTCTCCTAATGATCACCTTCGGGAACTGGGTGGAGGAATATCAAGACACGACGAACAAGGTCTGGTTCCAATGCAAGGACGTTGAGCGGTGGCTGCTCAGTCGCTTCGTGAACGAGTGGCGAGTCAAGTCAGTGCGCCAACGAGATCTGAGAGAGTCGGCCAGCACCATCGCGCAACAGTGGGAGAGAGAGATCAACTTGAAGAAGCAGGTGAGCCCGATCCGTCTTGACTTCCGTCACTGACCCTTCCTCCTCACCCGCAGATCTCCATAGGGATCGACAGCTCGATGAGATCGACATCAGCCTCGCAGTCCCCGAACTCCGCTGGGACCTCTCCTCTCAACCGCGCAGATCGGTTGATGTGGAAGGATGTTCCCATCATCTCTCCGGAGGACAGGAGCGCAGACAGGCTCGGCATTGTCTCAGAGGACCCATGGCTGGGAGACCCTTCCTCCTTCTTGTCTCACTTGTCGCCTCGCAGCGCCTTCTCTCGGTGGAAGCGCCTGACCCGAGGGGACGCTGGCGAGCTCCGGCAGATGCCAAAAGATCTCTTTGCTCCCGTTGCTCCTGTTGCTCCCGTTGCTACCTTCAGCGACACTGGGGAAGATGCAGGTACAAAAACCCCTCTGCTTTCTCTGCGTCTTGCACGTTACTCATCTCATCCTCATTTCATCTTGACACTGTCAAATCATCATATTGTACCATGCCATGCCATGCCATGCCATGCCATGCCATGCCATGCCATGCCATGCCATACCATATCATATCATGAAGGACCATACCATCTCACTTCCTTTGTTGTTACCTTGCTGCCTCATCACATCTCATCTCTGACGAAGTCAACCAGCTGCAGCAAGAGATGTTCGTCCAAGTATGCCGTATCCTATGCTTCCAAGAATTTTCAGGGAGGAGCCGCAGCAAGACGAGCAAGCAGGTGCTGACATAGCTCGTGCTCCACCGAAGAAGGACATCGCTGGAGTCGGCATGCGCATCCAGGACGACCCCCCGCATCGGGTGATCAGTCTAGTGCCCTCGGGGCCCGCGGATAGGAGCGGCTGCATAGAGCCGGGAGACATCCTGGTAGCGGTGGACCAGAGAGATGTTTCCAAGCTCTCCTCTTCGAAAATCCGCACTCTCATCGCCGGACCGAACGTGCTTGTCCTGCTGGAGGCTTGCTGGACCTGACGGGTGCTTGGCAGGGCTCCAAGGTGAGGCTGGTGCTGAAGAAAGCTCAGCCGACGTCCTCCGAGTTCGTCGAGGTCATCCTCGAGCGCGAGTTTCCTGTCCGCTCCTCCCTTGGCATCCTCGCCAACGAGAAGTCTCGGGCTGATCTGCTTCAGATCTACAGGAAGGCTGACGTGCAAGGCACAGGTGAGCTCAAGCTCGCCGTGCTGGTCTGCGGCTGATCACTTTGAAGGGCGCGTGAGCATGAGAAAGGTGGTGAAGATCCTGAGGCAATTGGGGGCAGCGAAGAGCGAGGAGGAGCTGGAGACTTCCCTCAGAGAGAAACTCGGGGAGAACATGGAAGAATGCGATTACGCGACCTTCCTGACAATCTTCGGATTTTAATCTTCCAGGTACTGTCTCACTGATGTGGTTGAGTCGATGATATTAAGTACCATTCTTGCATTGAAGTCGAGTGCGCGCCATCATTGGCCTTTCATCTCACGTCCAAACAATAATTCCCCCTCCTTCTTGGAGCAAGAAAAACGCAGAGATCTCTCCTCTTTCTCTCCTCCCTCTCCCTCCTCCTCGCGTATCTCATCCCTCTCCCTCCTCCTCGCGTATCTCATCCCTCTCCCTCCTCCTCGCGTATCTCAGCTCAAGTTCCCTCCTGCCACATCTGCCTTCCTGCAAGTCCCATGCACGCGGCCATCTCCTTGAGACACATGACGCCCAGCAGGACCGCGAGGAAGATGTTCGGACCCACTCTGTGCTTGGTGGCTCTCACCATCGCCGTCGCGTACTTGACCCACATGCTTCCGAGGGACTCAGAGCAGAGGAGAGAGGTGTTGAAGAGGCTGAGCATGAACACCATGGTTGATCCCAGCAGGTACGTCATCGCCTTCGCAAACTTGTTGCACCCTGTCGAGTACTCGATCCACATCCTCACGGCGATCGACCCAACAAAGCAGAGCAGCCCGGAGATGAAGTGCGTGCGGACAGCGAGGAAGTAGAGGGGGTACTCCTGCATCATCATCGTCATGGGGCAATCAGCGGCGAAGTCTCTCCTCTCCTTGAGAATCTGCACGATAGCCAGCGAGCTAGCGAAGACCGAGACCATCTCGTGGCACAAGGAGGAGCAGCTCAGAGCCACGTAGACGCGCTTCGCAAAGCTTCGCAGGTGACCCTCGTCTTGCTTGAGGGGCATGGAGAAAAGCATGGAGAGCGCCATGCCGGCAACGAGGGCAGCAGGAGTCCTCTCGGAGGTGAAGAAGGTGATAGCCTCTGCCCTCAGCGAGCTGCTCGTCGAGTTTCCTCCTCGCAGCTTCATCGCATGAACATTCGACAGCAGGGCAATGGACGACTCGCCATATGCGGGAAGTGAGCCGAACGACTTGTAGATCATCTTCAAAGGACCAGACCTTCAGACTAGGACCATGGGGACATGGCGCTTGAGCCACTGAAGCACCTGACATACATCTCATCACACATGTGAAGTAGTCAACTCCAAACATGGACACATGATCTTGTAGAGGTAAAGTCATCCATCTTACTCTCACATGCCCTCTGGTACACAGCATTGCATATGAAGAGGCGTAGGAGTAAGGGGATAGGATCCATGCAAGCAAGAAGGCAGAAGCAAGACAGAAGGCAGCTAAGAGGATAAAGGGACGTGAGCGTATAAGATAGATTGCTGCTGCTGCTGCTGGTGGTGGTGGTGGTGGTGCTGCTGCTGCTGGTGGTGGTGGTGGTGCTGCAGGAGCCATGGGGAGAGCGGACGCTGCCCAGCATCGATATGGGGTGCAACCGTAACGAGAACGAGGGATGAGAACGAGGGATGACCATCACCTTGCGACCGCCCGGCCCGCGGCGGCCGGCCCGGGCCCCGGGCCCGGCGGCCCGGCGGCTCAGCCATCCCCGGGCCGAACGGAGACTGAGTCCCGGGTCCGCCGGACGCTAAAGGTTGGTCAGTCCACGGTCCGACACTGAAGTAGTTTTACCGTTACTCAAGCCGCTGGTCTTCAGCAAGAACAGCCTCGCGGCTGCGAGCCGGGGGCCGGAGCACAGCGGCAGGAGCGGGACTCGCCGGGACTCGACTTGGACACTGCCTCGGACCGTGTGAGTCCCCCCGGCCCCAGTGATCGGACTGGAGCATGAGCGCGGCGGCCGCGCCGCTGCCTCGGAGCCTTTCAAGTTTCAATGATGGATCATCCTCCCCACTAAAGTTACCGTACAGTGCCGCTCCGAGTGACTTGGCAGTGACTCAGCAGGCCAGGCTCCGGGCCGCCCGGGCCGGCCGCCTCGCCGGGCCCGATCGGACGGTCACGCCATGATACCGGGCCTCATCCCCGTCACTGAACAGTACTAGAAGCGGCCGCACGTGAGATGTGCTGAAATGGCAGCGAGGACAGTGGCGGCGGCGTCGATTCTCGTCAAGAGCCAGTAAGAGGAGGAAGAGAGGGAGAGGGAGAGGGGGAAAGATAGTGCTAGGAGAGAGACAGAAGGCAGGGGATGGGAGGAGGGAAGGCAGAGGGTTTCATGAGGAAAGGGATGTTGCAAAGGGATCGTTGTGGGATGAATGTGAATGTGTTTGTGACGATCGACAAAACAATCTCACCGTATCGTCATGTCACAGGAATTTTGCAGAGGTCCTGTCCTTGCTCAGCGAGCAACAACCAATCTTTGAATGCGATTCGCTGGACCTTGACGCTCAGGTATCTCGTGTCTTCCCTTGCTTCCTCGAGTCTGACCCGCATCGTCCAGGTGCTAGAGATTGTGAAGGATGTCAGTGAGCAGGTGAAGAAGTCAGAAGGCAGCGCCAAGGTCCTTGCCGTGGTGAGAGATTGGCTCTCCCCGCAAGTCCGTTGGCATGACCCTCTGGCGCAGGTTCTGCTGGAGAAACTTGTATCATGCTGCTCGGCCCAGCAAGTGAAGAAATATCAGGTGGAAGCTGCAAGAACTCTAGAGCTCTTGCAAGAACTCTAGAGCTCTTGTCAGTCCTCAGCTGACCCAAAGATCCCTAGTCCTCAGTCGTTGGTGTTCTGCTGTCCTTCGTCCGCGACCTCCAACAAACTTCTCTGTGTGCTGTGAGCATCAGGAGCCTGCACGGTGAGCGGGTTGTGTTGACTGTCAAGATGAGGGTGATGGAGACACTTCAGCCATGCATGGGAAGCTGTGGGAGCTAAAAGGAGGGGAGGGAGGGACCTCGGAGGGTGTCCAGCTGTTTGGAAGGTTGATACCGGACATGATGAAGACGCTGATTGCTATGGTGATGGTTGTGTTCTCGACCCTTTCCGTGCCTTTTTCTGCTTCCATGTTCCTCTCTCCTCTCTCCTCTCTCCTCTCTCCTCTTTTCTCCATCCTTCTCTGCCTCCTTCTCTGTCCTCCTCCTCCGTTCTCCTCATCCTCCTCATCCTTCTTCTCCTTCTCCAACTTCCTCCTGCCACTTCCTCTTCCAACTTTCTTCATTTGCATGATCGCGATTGATCGCTCAGCTCACTTCTTGCTAGGCAACCAACAGTACCGAGCTGTCCAAGGGCCACAAGGACGTGCTGCTGGCGTGCCTGGACGTCTTGGAGGACAACCTCCAGGAGCATCCCGCCATGCTGCGTCCTCACTTCTCCCACGTCCAGACAGCCACTGCGTCCCTCCTGGCCTGCCCCGACAGTCTCGTCAGAAGCCGATCAGCCGAGATCTTTGCGCTCTCTGCCAAAGCGTGAGTCTCTTCCTCAACTTCTTGCCAAGTCTGGACGATGCTGGTTATTTACCTGCCGTGCTATTGTGCACCCTCGTTCTTGTGATCTTGGTCTTTTCCCATTTTTCCTTGTTTCCTTGCTTCCCATCGCTGTGGTGAATTTTGTTTCTCTGGTTCTGTTGATGTTTTGTCTTCTTGTCGTTCTTGTCGTTTTGTTCTGACATCGTTGTCGCTTCCAGATTCCCACGTGACAAAACTTGTTCAAGATCACCCATTCATCGTGAGTGCTCAGCTGCTTTGTTCGAATGCCCCTACAGCTGTTCTCCTTCCATTGCCACCACTACCTCCTACCTCCTACTTCTTCCCTCTTCCCTCCTCTCCCAACTTTCCTCCTCCTCTCCCCTCACTCTCCTCCCCATTTTCTCCTGCCCTCACTTGCTGGATCAGAGAACATCGCTCTGCTGCTCCGAGGCATCGAGTATCTTCTGTGGGAGTTCGACGGCCTGCGAGCCAACGGTGAGGATGGGGAGGAATAGAAATATGCAGGGGAGAATGCTGATGAGGAGACAGAAAATTTAGAGGAGGGAGGGAGGGAGGGAGGGAGGGAGGGAGGGAGGGAGG